CTGAGTAATACTCACATTTTCTGAGGTCATGTGAGTATGGGTACTGAGTATACTCAGTACTCAGTACCCGTACTCACATCGAGTACACGCAGCGTGTATTTCATGTGAGTCCCACACCCTGGTTGAAAAGAAAGCCACGTTACCACGTTGATTTTTAGGTAGAATTTTGAGCTGAATTTTGTAAGATTATGGGAAGAATGAAGAATGCTATTTCACGGCGTTCTTAGAATCTGCTCTTTCAACGTTGAAAACCGGGAAACAAGAACTGACTTCTTGTTGAAGCGGAAGCATTCGGTGTCCAAAGAAGGGGAGATCAAGAACCTGCTTCCTTTTCGCCCATCCCTCATTGTTTGATTGGTGGTATTAAAGAGCGCGTCACGCCCACAGGCTGACGTATCTGATCTATTGGTCCCATCTGTCCATTTTACAGAAAGTATCTCAAGAGTACTATGGTACTCAGAGTAGTCGTGTCTGAGGTCTGAGGCTAGTCTTCTACTAGAGTAAGGTCGAAGCTGCACTTGCGCTTCATGGAATGCCCGAATAGCTAAGAACTCAGGCCTGTGGATGCAAAGAGTTGCTTGGAAGGGGGATTGGTTTTTTTTGGATTTGGGGGCGACGATAAAGATAGCTAAGATTCAACACATGGGATTACTAGTACTAGCAGTCTCCGCGGAACCTGAACCTGGAGCATGAGCAGTTCCAAGAACTACTACAGTACTAGAACTGAGCAATAGACGTGCTGCATGGTAGCGCCCACATCCACTTTTAAAGTGTTGCAATCTGTTGGATTGGAGGCACCAAGCTGGCTGGGATTGCAGAATGTCTTCTGATGCCAAGCAGTCTGCCAAGAAGGGTCTACTAACCGGCCAAAGAGCCATGTCTTCTTGGATGTTGTGGGTACAAGTTGCTGGTGCTACATGAGCTGCTACATGTAGCTAGAAGAGCTTTGAAGGGCTGGAGTGGGTAGAATCGAATCCTCGCTCCTCGCCACCAAAATCATAGCAATGGCACTTCCGGCACCACATCCGGCAACCTCTGGATCGAATCTTTGAATCTTTGTCTCTGAGCAGTAGACTACTGAATCTTAGCAGTATGAATTATCTTTGAAAGAGGGGATATCTTGATCACATGTGCATCTGTCTACTAAAGCTCTCCGACTAGGTCATAATTGAAAGCCTTTATATGGTGAGGCTCGTTTGAGGCTCAAGTGGTGGACTGCAATGTTCCGTCACCAAGAGCTGCAGCTGGTAGACTGGGGCTTCTCTTTCTGTTGGAGTGTATCGGCAGAGTAGAGTGATTAGAGGAGCTTTAGAGGAGATAGCTATTAGTGTTGTTTGGTTCGCCACGTACGTATTCAAAAGATTCCTATGTACTGTGTGTACCTAAAGATTCTCGTATGTAGAATTGTTATTGGTTCCTACAAGGTTGGAAATCGAGAAGCACTGCGACGGCAGGACGGCCAATAGCTTTCTCACATCCTCCAAACGCAGCTAAAAACACCAGTTCCTATCTCTCTCATTATCCACATTGCAAGCCATCCATTATCAAAACACAAAAAGGCAAGGAGCAACCTCCGATCCATCCTGTTGCTACAACGTAGTATCAAGCCAAGTCATCATCGCTTAGGTAGCTGGAGTTAGTTGAAAGGGGCACCGACAAGTCAATCTGCCCAATCTGCTTCTTCTGCCTTTCTTTGGTGATTTCCGTTCTATACTCCTATCTACCCTTCTACCACACTCTACCCATTATCCTGTATACCTTCTATACAGTACCGTACTTTTACACCATTATCTTCCACATCTACCCTTGCTACCCCTGCTACCCTTGATTATCTGTCCATTATCTCCCATATACCCTTTCAAGAATGTCTGCTACCCCTGCTACCCCCACTCGCACCGTCTCCTCCAAGGCTTCCTCCTCCTCCAAGATGATGGCTGCTTCTACTGCTGCCTCTGTCTCTCCCGGTCGTTTGACCCTTCACCAAGCTACCCGCAAGCAGATCGAAACGAGCTATCGCGCTCCTTCTTCTGCTTCGGGTCGATCTCCCGTGGCTCTTTCGGGGCTTTTGGGTCTTTCTGCCTGCAATTCGGGGTTTCTCTCGAATCTCTTGGCGGAAGTGGCCAAGGCCAAGCAAGAGATTCTCCAAGCCAAAAACAAGCGTGCTTCTGCTGCTGCAAGTGTCTCTCCTTCGGTCAAGAGACGACGCATCTCTCTCGAGAATACCAGTGGTGCAGCTGCTGCTTCTGTCAAACAGACCAACAAGCCCTTGACCAAGAAGAACGTCCTTCAAGAACCCTGCAACATTCTCGATCTCTTGTGGGACGAATCTTGGTTGGCGCCTCCCGATTTTGCCGCCCTTTTGCCTCGTCCTGCCCTTCTTCCAAGACCCAACATTCCTGCTACCGTCAGTTTCGCCAATTTGGAAGACGAACAAGAGAAGGAGGTTTCTACGTCCACCAAGAAAATGGCTTCAGCTAAGGGCCGAGAAGATGACGACGAAGACCAATTTGGTTGGTTTGTCGATATGGACGATGATGAAGCGCCTTTTTCGCTAGCGAACAACTGCGATGACCCTCATCGCTGCTATCAAAGCCAAGCCAGCCCTTATACCTCCGCCGAGTCGCTTGCTTTCTCCGCCCCCATTGCCCCCAAGGCTTCCAATCAAGACGCCCAAGTCGAATGGGCCATGGCAGCCGACACTGTCGACGATGTCTTGGGTGGACTCTTCTAAAAACACCCTCCTTGCACAATCTCCATTGTGCTGCGCGCGCCACTTTCATCATGATCCATACAAATACATTTCTTTTGGCTCCAGCCAACTATCCATTACGCACAAACTAACTCTAAGGAATGGACAGCACACAAGGGCTCGATCGATCGAGCCCTTGTTTGGTACCATTCCACCCCCGCAATTTACTTTAAATTACGAATCGCTATGCTACTGTCTATACTCTGTTCAGTCCTTTAGCTTGCTACTGGTACTAGCTCTAGATACATACATGGATCGATAGAAACTCCTCATGCTGTAGCTCGTCCGTCTGCTCCAGAAACGAACCAGCCGAACCGCCAATCGAGGTATTCATTGATTGGTGTTGGTTCCGCAGCAGCAGCTGGGTCATTTGCGTTCCTGATGTTTGCCTTTTTTCCCTCAATGCAACCGCACTTACCTTGCCAGCTAGTCTAGCTACTAGCTAGCTTCTTGACATGCAATCCGACCAAAGCAAAACCGCCAATCCGAGTATAATTGTTTCGGTACCACAACAGCCGGTCATTGCCTTCGGGGTGCATCCGGCTTTTTGCGTACTGATAGGCCTAGCTAGTAGGCAACCAAGACATTGCGGTCGACGGATAGCTACCGGTAGCTAACTGAGCTAGTAGAGCTACAGCCCAGGCAGCGCCTCTACAAGGAGCTTTCTCGTCACAATCGATACCGGTAGCTATTGATGGGGAAGCAAGAAGAGACAAGTCTTTCGACCATCAGCAGCAAGGAAGAAGGAACAGGTATAATATAGATTACTATGGAATTCCACTAGCTAGTAGAGGGTACTAGCTAGTACTCGAGTAGTATACTAGCTAGCTACCAGCTAGCAGTAGCTTTTGTCGGCTCTACAGTACTCATGTGAAGTTTTGCGTCGCACGAGGAACAGACTTGTCGCACCTGGCGTGCTGGACGAGTGGTTGGCAAAGGTCAAACGTCACAATCGACAGTCACAGATACTGGCTGGAGACTGTACAGGTTCGGATTGCAGTTCCAACCAAGTCCTCTGCGATCCCTTGAATGGAATCAGCTCATGACCAATCCATCCAGAAAGTGCCCCTCGAACTGACATCTTTCTGGCTTTGACGAATGGCTGGCACAGGTCATTCAGACGTCACAATCGACAGTCGCAGATACAGCATGGAGACGAGGAAGACAGTTTAGATTGGGTAAATGTGAGGTTAAAGTTTACTTTTACTTCACATTTTTGTATAAAGAAATGTTTTTACCGCAACTACCTTGTTTCCAAAGTTGTCTTCCTGGCTGCATCGTCGTTCTTCACAAGCCAGGTTCGGCTTGCAGTGTCAAACAAGGCCTCTGGGATCTTTTGCCACACACCGGCATGCATAGCGTCAACTCTCTCCTCTAGCTCTCTTGACCAATCATTCCTGCAAATGTTCCCTTTCAACTTCCAGCCGACCACTTTCTGGAGTTTCGGAAGTGAGGCCTGGAGCCTACAGGCCTGGGGCGCCAGCCTTGATGAGGCCCGTGAAAGACATTTATTTCTGCACAGGCCAAAAATATCTTTGAGGATGAAGAAAGACGCTCTTGCGAGCGAGGCAAACGTGGAGTGGAAACAAGCCTCCTCGACTGTACCACCGAGTGACAATCGAGTAACAGTCACTCCAAACAGCTCTCCAAACTATCGAGCTGCATCGTGAGCCTGTACTGGTACCGGTACGAGTATGGTACCGGTACCGGTACTGGGAACACTGATGTTGGGAAGAGGGGACAAATTAAAGTAGAATTTTGCTTTAAAAGCTTAATTAAAGGGATATTCATTCATTCTATCTATGCGATAGATTTTGTTTCGTACATTCATCTTGATTGTGGTCAATGTCACGGTTCATGCTGCAGCTACTTTCTGCACCATCGATTGAGGAAAATGTTGGCTTTGCTGTCTGTTTGTAGGCTCAGGGAGTTGGCGGATGGCGTTCATTAGATGTATCGATATGAAAGCTTTTCCCCTTTTTAAACCACTGCTTTTGAGCATCCTTGGAAGGTAGAAGGAACGTCTCTTCCAAACTAGGACGAACGTCATCGTTGTGTTCCTCGTCGAGGTGAATAAGATATTCCTGCAAGCTGAGCAAGAAATCGTCAGTGGGATCCGTGTTTTCGAAGGGCGTTATCGGGATTCCATTGGAAGGGTTTGCGAGCAAGAAGTATGGTATGTCATCAACTAGAATGAAACGTTTCGGATCGACAGGAATGCCTAGTTGTAGGACATCCTTTCTCCAAGAGATAGGGTGCTTCTTCTGAAGTCCGCTGCAGGATTGGCGATACCAGCGTCCGGAAAAGATACTTCCGTGTGGGTCCAAATGATCCAGAATCTTGTCGGCGTATATGGATTCCGAAGCCGTGAAGATGTACACTTCAAATCGACTGGAGATCGTCTTGAGAAAGTGATCCAGGTGAGGTCGTTTGTGGATTTTCATAGAGCCGGTTGTAGGCAAGGTAATGAAGAAGTAGTCGTCGTCTTTGTTGCTTGGTCTGGCGAAGCCTCTATCCGAGTATATGAGCGTCTTGTCAAGGTCCAGAAAGAGCATAAGGTCGGAGGAGCTGTCAGAGGTCTGCTTCTTGCTTGCTTGTACATGTAGTTGTCCGAGTTGGGCAGAGCTTGATTCATCACTGGCGTGACTAAATGTACTGCTCGTGGAGCCATCGTCAGAAGCCTTCGATTCGTGATTTTCTGGTTGAATGGGGACGGAAAGCTTCTTCGAGAAAGACCACAGGCCAGCGCAAATCATCATGCCGAAGAGAAACCCGAGCAAGAGCAGGAAGGCTCGATTCTGATTGATAGTTTCGTAGGTGGAATCCTGAGAGATTGAGGTCTCGAGAGTACTCATAGGCATGTCGTCGTTTCATTGGAAAGAATCGCTGCAAAGACCATCTTGTCGGCGTAGCTGATGCGAGTAAATTTGCCGACCAACCACAAGAAGCAATACGGTACCTGGTACGTGGGCTGCAACTGGAAGGTTGGTAGATCGGAAGCCCAGACGAAAGGAGAGAACAAAGGCAGTGCCTGGTGTCGTATGCTCCGACGGTTGTTGTTGTTGCTTGCAACAGTTTGTTGGCTTTTGAGCATCAACGGTTTCTTGAGACCAAGCCGTCACTAGTAGCCACGACCAACTTTAAAAAATAAACGACCCTCGCGACGATAAATCCACGATGACACTCCAGCCGTGAAAACCACATCGATCCTCGCTACGAAGGAGGTACCAGTACTGGTACCTGGTGCCGGTACCATACATGTATGCAAATCACAACTCCTTCCATCGCACTATTTAACTTGATCCTTCCTTGGAGCTCGAAGCTTATCATCCTGGTCACTTTTGCTCGGATCGACGAGACTCAAGGAAAGTCCTATACAGTGTAGCTCGTCTATGACGTGCTACAATACGTTTAACTACAGCTTCACTGAATGACCACTAAAATTCACTGCGGAACCGATAGATCTATATCTATGCTACTATTCTTTTTCTTTTCTAATGGAGGTGGTAGGGTGTCGATAACTCCATGGTGTAACCATAGGCCGGTATCGACAATGAGTCCTCCATAATCGGCAAGTTTGCGCAACTGCCGTCGGGTCGTTGACCTTCGTATGAACTACTCCAGTGTGGGATGCTACTGTTCCCGTCACCGTCGAAAATTTCCACAATTTCGCCTTTGGCGTTGCCAGAAAGTTCCCATTCCAGAGTCGTTGTGTCCGGGAAACTTCCTTGGTTTTCCCACAAGTGATGTTTGAGTTGCTCTAGCTTCTCCGCATTCGCAGAACGCAAACCTCTGCCTCGAATGCGCTTTACTTTCTCCTGGAGTTCCATCGTTTCCACGCACACAATGGCTGCAGAAAAGGCACCACCAGCATATCGAGCCGTCTCCCGCAAGACGGTCAAGGACGCCTTGACCAAGAACCGAGCGTTCTTCACAAATACTTGATTGCTGGGTGCTTGCTCTCCATCTGACTCGCCACTGGCCATCAACCGTTGTCTTCGATCTCTTTTCACATCCTGTTTGGCCACCTTGACGTTCGTACGGGTGAACGCCTGCATGACTCGATCGGAAGCTCGGAGTTTGAGGTCCATGTTCTTATTACGGATTTTGGCAACAAGGGCGCGTTCGTTGGAGGAGGCCAAGTCGTTAGTCGCAGGGTTTGTACTGCCGCGGACTAAGAATACTCGAACCAACACATCCTTGAACGGGAACCTGACAGTTTTGAATGAGGGTTGTCGGACCACCACCGAGTCGTCTGAGTTTTTTTGTTGCTTTTTGTTTTCGTCGTCGCCGTTGCCCATGGATCCCACGTTGAACAAGTTTCGAGTGAAGAATTGGATGCCTTGTCGAGCAGCAGTCATTTCGTCCCTGAACGACACTCTACGCTGCTGCGGTTGCTTCTTTGCGGAAGTGGCATTGGTCTTGTCGTCTGTCTTCTTGTCATTGCCGCCAGTTTGGTCACTATGAGTGCCTTCACCTGTAGCCTCGCACTTCGTTTCCGCAGTTTTGGATTCTGTGTCGTCCTTTTCGGCAGGGGCGCTAGTGGAAGGAGAGGATTTTGCCACAGGGGCACCACGGGGCTTGCCCCCAAATCTCCGAATGAAACCTACGCCACCTTCTGACATGCCCACCGCCGCTAGTGCCGTTGCAGTTTTTGCCACCACGACTGCTTCTCCCGTCTTCTTCTTGGCCCGTGTTACTTCTTTTCGAACTCGACACGCTACTCGTTTCAATGGACCAGCTTCTTCTCCTGCATTTTCTCCTTCACCGCCATCGTTGTTGCTGCTACCAAATGTAGTACTGTCATTCTTGTTTCTCCTGTTCAAACGCCGCAGTCGCGGATGCTTGCGTTGGTGATCCTTGACCTGTTTGTTGATCCGTTTCATGGCGGACTGCAAAGGATTTCTAGCTCGTCGTGTCTCGGCATCCATCTTGGCCTTGAGAATGGTAATCATGAGTTGTTGTTCCTTGTCCTCTTGCAGGAACAGGGTGGTGGCATCTGATGAGGAGTCTGCTGTGCTGATGGGTACTGGTGGTAACCTGGGAAGAGACCGGACGCTTTGAATCGAAGCATCATCGTCAAAATCCTCGTCGTCGTCATAGTCATCATGTTCGCTTTCGTCAAACGACGCCGGTGGCAATGCCCCCGCAATGCGTGCCTGTCGCAAAATGGCCGTTGCTTCCAGCAAGGAATCCACCATGGACGCCAAGGCAATGGTTTGTTCCGCCTGTCTTGTTTGGGGACAAAGTCGTTCTACCAAGAACGATCCACTTCCGACGGCCGTGGCAATACCACCCAATGCCAGACTGGTCAATAAGAGCCACGACCCCCAGGGTGTCATGAATACGGCCGTGGCGGCAATTCCGGTCACGCCCGAGGCAATGTTGGTGACACTCGAGCCAATCCCCAATCCTTCCTTGTGCCAATTGGTTTGTGCGAGTCTCCGTCGTGCATTGTCATCAAAGGATTGACTGGAATGTCGTAATGCCAACAAGGCCCGATCGTACACAATCAACAGTTGTCGCATGTGTTGTTCTTGTTGGGCCTTTTGGATTTGTTGTTGCTGCTGTTGTTGCGCGACCACCAAGGAAGTTTCATTGCTGTTGGTTTTGTTGGTTTTGTTGGTTTTGTTGGTCGTATTATTGTTATTGTTGTTCAAGTTCATGCACTCGATCAAGTTATCGAGATCAAAGAGTGGCGCACAATCCTGACAGAGAATGACATTTTGTTGAAAGTAAAAGCCACTGTCCCAGTGTTGTTTGCACACGGGTGTGTGACAAATCAAACATTCCTTGTTGCGTGGTTTGAATTTGGGCAGCAGAAAGTCTTGGAGTGTCGGTTTGGGTTTCTTGTGGCAAGTGGGATGGGTATTGTTGTTGCTATTATCATTGTTGTTGTGTTGTCGTTTTCGTTCTTCCCGGAGGCAAAAGACACAGGCATGTAGATCGACGCCAGGTCCAAATTCCATGACGAGATTGGCGCGTCGCATATGCTCTAGAATCTCCATGGCGGCCGATACTTCGTTGCGTCGTCGTTCCTCTTCTTGTGGATCGAGAGGTTTATGGAAGTGTCCGAGATGTTGGGAAGTGGAGGAGAGATCTGATCTTCGTATGGTACCGGTGCTGGGGCGTCGCTTATGGGAGGGTTGGGAGTTTGGATCATAGGCCACGAGTTGGAGTTCTTCTACCTCCACTTCTTGCTGTTCATCATCAGTAGCAGATGCCTGGAATGTCACAATCTTCCTCTCCTCTTCTGAGCTGCTTTCTTTGTGACGATCCGACTTATCCTGATTCTGATCTTGATCTTGCTCATCCTGATCCTGCTCAGAGCTACTTTTCTGTTGCTCCTGATCTTCATCTTGATCAGTTGTCAATGCCAGTGCAGGTGGACTGCCATCCATGTCTGCAGATGTTTCTGATATATCCATGGCATGAGTGTTTGTACTATGAAAACTGGAGACACTCTGTTGGTCATCGTCATCATCATTGTCGTCTGGATTCTGTTCGGAACTGCTGCTGCCACTACACGTAGTAATGCTGCCACTAGGCGGTTGGGTAGCCTCGGTCCAATCCTTACTCCTGCTCGAGTGAGAACTGGTACTGCTATTGCTGTTACATGTAGCTTTGCTCTCTGTGCGCTTGCTGTTTCTCGTTTCTGATGAGGAGGTTACGGAGACTTCTACTACAGGGACCATTGATGACTCATCGTTGTTCGTCTCCTCGTTTGAGCGGGATTCTGTTGGTTCTGGCTCTGGCGACATCTTGATGATCTGATGAATTCCTGATCTCCCTGATCTTCTTATTGATGAATGCCTTGCTCCTATTAATAAGCTGTATAGGAATGCTGCAGCTCACTCGCAATGGACTGACGGGTGCTTTACAGGTACAGGAGGGGTAGAAGCAATTGTAGGAGTACCCAACCAGCTATAGAGAAGTGCTTGCCCTTCCGTCTTCCAAGCTGATCGACTACCTGCAACCTCGACCTCGTTGCTTGTCTGCCTCGCCAGTCTCCACTCTCTTTATCTTATCTGTTCCTTTCGATTGCAATTGACCTCTGACTTGCTGCTCTCTCACTTCTCACTTTGTCATGCCTGGTTATTGCGAAAGAAGCCGTTGTGGTTTCACGTCATCCAAGCAACAATTGAGCCAGCAATCACAGGTTTTCACAAGGGATGGTAGAACAGGACTCCAGGCGTTATCAATATTTTCTAATGATACCTGGAGGCTTAAGCCTCAGAATCGGTGCGGTACTGGAAACTACCCCTTCAAAAGATCTTTGGTTGGAAGCAAATCTAAAGGGACCAGTCTTTCAACTCTCTGTTACTGGGCAACGCTTGAGTTTCAACACTTATTTCTGTCTTTCTTTTCAGCAGCGGGAGTCTTACTTATTACTTCTATCCAAATGACAGACGCACTATGACGGAATGAAAGAGAGTCTGATCGTTACGGGCTGGTTGCCTTCTTGCTTGGATTCTTGGATCGTCTTGCTTCCGTGCATGTAGTCGTTCGGATAGCTCAAGGAGCTCCAGCATACAGACATTCATGCAGTCCTGCCAGAACCATTCCAACTCGACCGTACTCGCGTACTCTTTTCCACGCTATGGACCAAGTTGCTCCTCACGCTCGGCCCTTCTATCCTCTAGATAGCTACCTGTAGCTAGCTACAGGTACTATGATACGAGTAGCACATCGACGATTTAAGCTCCCGCCCGCCATGTGCGACGAGTGATGTTCCCATCGACTCGACTCCCGAGAGGGACTTCGCCATCATTGATCAGTTAACTGCTGTAGAGGAGGAGAAGGGGAGGGACCGAAAGGAGAGTGGCTGATTGGCTGACGAAGCAAAGAGGAGAGCAGCCAAACAAGCAGCACGGTAATTGCTTGGCTGGCTGGCTATTGACGACTGACTAGCTACGGCAGATATCGGTACCAGTACTGCACCTTGAACAAAAAACGTTGGCTGCAGATACCCCCCTTCGTCTCTTCGTGAAAAGGAATCAATCATCCGTGCCCGAGATACTGAAACAAAACAAGGAGCACAGCCCGTGTCAAAACTGAGCCGGCCACGAGACAGACTGGAGACGAAGGCACCACCATGACAACAAGCTGCCGTTTCGATTCTTTTGACAGCTCCTGATGATTGATTGATTGTTGTTAAAAAAGAGTTAGAGAGTATAAACGATATTTTGTTGCTCCTGCATCATGTTTTTGAGTAGCATGCTCGTGTTGTGTTGCCTAGTAGCCTGGTTAATTTCGTGCCCCACGTTCACGTCCACTTCCAAAGTCGAGAGACTTGTAGACAAACTTGAGCCACTCTGGGGTTTTGCTGTCATCACCATCAGCATCATCATCTTCATCCCCATCCGTGGCAAAGGCAAACGCATAACTACCGAGTACGACCGCCAAGTTGGCAGCCCAAATAATGGCCGTGTCTTTGGTGGCCACGGGAGCAATGAGTGAAATAATGGGAGTTCCCAAAAATGCAATATCGAGTGCCTTTTTCTCCGCTCCAGTAGGTCTTCTGGACCGCAAGGAAGGGACCACAAAGAGCCACCACCACCAGTATCCCAGGACCTTGATGGAAATGTCCCTACAAAAAATAAAAACAATACAAAATAAAATAAATGGTAAGACCACAATAATGGGTATCTTCAGATCAGACCAGACCAGATTGTATTGGTTTAATTTCTGGACTTACATGTTGTAAGTTTGGAACCATCCAAACTGTCCAAAGAGTACTTCTGGATTTGTGGCCATGACCCACGAGAGTGCAAAACTCAAGACAGCCTGTACCAAGAATACATTTTTGAGCCATCCTCGAAACACGGATCGTCGTTCAATCACCAAACTCGTTTCCTTCTTTTCAATATTGGCTCGAAGTTCGTCCGCCGTTTCTCCTCCACCTCCACCGTCGCATTGTTCGGTCGTCAATTGGATCGTTTCTTCTAGTGTCACACCCGTCAGTTCCGCCAACTCCAAGCGCAGATTGTAGAGATCTCGTTCCAGATTGACCACCTTGGCGGGATTGAGCAATTCGTCCAAGCCCACACCAAAGTCACGTTGAATGCCGGCATCAATTTCTTGCACAAACGGATCGTCCGACGTCATTTCCCCATCTTCGCGAGGAGGCGCCCAACCCACATTGGCCAATGCATCACTAGCTTCATCTAACACTGCCTGAGTGCCACTGCTACTGCTGCTGCTATCCTCTTTAATCTTGTTGGACAAAAAGACGCGAGACGACCAACGGTCTGTCTTTGCTGCTTGTAATGGTGAAAGTGGCTGAAGGGAAGAAAATCCAGACACGGTCGAGGCCAACGCCAAGACCAAGGATATAGACACTTGCGATAATCTTCTTGTCATGGTCAACAACTAGCTATGATAGACTAACACTCTTCTTTTGTCGTCAATCAAAATGACACCCTTCATGTTTTCTTTCTCCTCAATTGATGGTTGAAGTTGTCGAGCTCTTGTCTGACGTAGGTGGATCCCATTTCAAGCCTGTGTGAGCTGTAAATAAAATCTTTCTCTACGTCGCGGGAGTCGAGTCAGTCTCAAAGAAAACTGAAGGCAAAGTCAAAGCAAAAAGGCTGAGGCCATCACTATTTAACATGCAACCACCCACGAGACCAGACTTGAAGATATTCCCATGCAAAGCCTTCTTCATCCATCCCCATTCAAAAGTTAGACTGTATGATGTTGGTGGGCGTAGAGCATGCAAATGCAAGATGAACACACTACTTTTGTAAAACTGTCAAAGTAGACTAGTGGATCTGTAATCTCTCGTTTGACACGAAAGGAGGCCCTGAAACCAAGATGAAATAAGAATGAGCCGAGTTGTGGAAGATCAAAGCATTGTATTAGCTACCGGTAGATGGTATTCCTGTAATGGAGCCAGGTTCCTTTGCTGCCGGTGGTACAGTATGGTTTCAGCCAACAACAATCAAAGATGTTGGTTGGCTTATGCATGCAAGACGAGCACGCTACAATGTAGGCTACTGCACATACAAGGAGATACAGTACCGGTACCTGGCAAATAATAGCTCTTCATAATACTAGGGACACAAACGAATCTCTCGGCTCATCCTCTTCCTCTTCTGTATCACCGTCCTCTTGTTCATGATCCAACATGGCACTCATATGTCTGAAATCATCATAATGATTGCTGGAAGGTCTGGTATGACAGGAAGGATCCTCGAGGCTATGACTATATGCGGCAATCTTCTGTTCCATGCGCCACGAATCATCCGACAACATGTCACCACCACCACCACTAGTATAGTCATTGGTACTATATTGGTAGTCATCGTTGTTGTTGTAGTATAGAAAGTCATCCTCATCCTCATCTTCTTCCCATTCATTGTTTCCCATGAGAAAAGCAAGGTTGGAGAAAAAGGTTTCCACGCGAGCACTCAAAAAGGTTCCAACCACATCATTCTTAGTTTCCCCTCTTTCCTTCCTTCGTTTATTCTCCTCGTCTCTCGCGTCTTCCCCTTTCTCGAGTTTCATGTGATGGATCATCTTTTTAAAAAAGTCCTGACTGATGAAATGCAATGGATGATGGGTCAGTTTTCAAATGGCGGAGCTTTTGTGAAGCAAACGAGACAATGCAAAGTCAATTGCCACCTGTACTTTGATGAATGGCTCGAGCTGGTATACGGAAGGTTGCGACAGTATCAGAGTCAAAAAGCATGATCAAAAGCGCAACTCTTGCTTGATATCGTACATCGTTTGAGCCAGTTCACCAAGGTCTTCCCTTCGTTTTAAAAATAGTGTGGCAGGCCACAAAAACGGCTTGCCATGTAAAGGGCGCTACTTAATCAAATGACCTTCCGGTCATCAAACCTGTAATTAATTGGTGCACTCTTTTCGCCAAGGACCAAAAAATACGACTGGTACTGGTACCCACTGTACCGGTACCAATAACAGTACAGGTTTTGTTGAAAAATAACTCGCAAATCTTCTCTTGGCGCCATGGCGCGCCTATAACACATGGAGGAAGGCAAACAGATTGCTAGCCAATGAGCGACAAAGGATTGGCCGACAAGCAGTTAAACAAGACACTCACCATGCTGAGATAGAGCCACCAGCAACAGTAGTGGTTAATATCCGCAGCAACACCAGAGGGCTCAAAAGCGTCACTCTGTGTCACCATCTGCTTCCATTCGCTCCTCTGTCAGATCCTCTGTTGTCGCTTCAGAGTGGTCGCCGAAGGCGCTCAGGAACTGTTGCCGCTCTTCCGGTGCCATCGCCGTTATCCAAGACTTGGCTTTGGCCTTGGCCAACTCTCTGTGCCGGCCAAACTCGGTGTCGTCCAAACTGATATCGGCAGCAATCTTTGCCACAAGACCCTCCAACTGCTGCTCCTTCTCTTCAGGCCATGGGTCAACAGCAGCAACCTCCACATCTTTCAGCTCGAGCCATCGAGCCATTCTGTCATCCTTCTTCGACAGCTTTGACGGGCAAGGCTTGCCACTCTTCCAGGCTATCAAGTCCTTGAGTTCATCGCCTGTTAATCTCGCCAATGGCTTCTCAGATTCAACTACCGACATGGCCTTCTGTTGTCGCTTCCACGCTGCTACATGAGTCTTCTTTTCTTTCTCCAAGGCATCGACCTCCTTCCTCAATCTAGAACGCTCATCAGCGATGAGAAAGTCGTCATCATTCAGCGCCGCGCCTCCAGTAACTTTGAAGACTTGTCCTTGAGTCGCCGCTGCCTCCAAGGCCTCTTGCCTCTCCTTTGAGCGTGGAGCAGTCACAACAGCTGCTCTCTTCTGCTGCTCGAACTGTGGAGTCTGGAAACTCAGCAAGTCTCCATTGTATCCAAAGCTGTTGAGGATGTCACAGCAGAGAACGTTCCGCTGGTTCAACTCTTTGAGATAAGCAGCCTGCGGATCGATGTTGGTGGCAGCATTTCCCTCCGCATCCACAACCAACTCGTGTCTGATCTTTGGATCACCGACAGCTTTCCGCGAGAAGACTGGATATAGACCAAGCTTGTCGTTCCAGCAGTGCTGTGCTCTTGCAATAGAGAATGCCTCTTCGATGGCGTTGCGAAGGACTGGAAACTGTGGGTTGTGCTCGCGGTGACGTTGGCTCCCATAACACAACAAACCAATATCATTGCGTGTAATTGAATTTGCTTCATCTCTGTTGTTCTGTCGGAACTCCCAGAGCCGCTGAAGGTTGTCAAAAAAGATCATCTTAAAGGTACCAAAGAGCATGTCCATTATCTGAAGGATGTGCGTGGTGTTTGGTGGACCGGAAGGAAAGAGATAAATTCCCAATGCTCGAAGCTCAATCAGCATCTCTTTGTTGGTTCTTCCAGGGCTGCCATCAACAAGGAGCGTGGAGCGTTTGCCAGGAGTATCAGCCGTATCCTCAACGATTAATGGAATATAGTTGCCCCGGCACCACCTGAAGAGCTGCTCTTTATTCATTCCTCCTTTCTTGTTAGCACCGTAGGAAGCAGACACAGTTTTCGTTGTGCCTTCGATGAGCAAGAACTGACCAGATGTTTCAAGGATATCGACAATAAATTCCGCTGGGACGACCATGTCTTTCTCATCTTGAGCGTCTGAGGGAATCTGAAAATGCTCTGGAATCTTTTCGCCTGAGGCAAAGCATCCGGCGAGGAGTGTGCAATGGTAAGAGCTCTTGTGAGCTTCGTAGACAGATTCAGCTTGTAGCCTTGGATTGTAAAACTTGAGGGAAGGTCGGCCCCCTTTTTGGCTCTTGGTATCATCAAGTGTTAACCCAGACTCATCAATGTTGGCAACCCGTCGTCCTTGAGTTTCATCAACCCACGCAAGCTCTCCCTTTGTTGGCCAATCTTCTTCTGGGTTTTCGGTAGCTGCTCCAATGTAGATGAGGTGTGCCTTTAAAGAATCAAACCAGAGGTTGATGTTGCTGTATGTAGCCCACTGTCGTCTCCTCTTTTCTACACGATTGGGTTTGCCAGACTCAAGGGTATCTCCAACCTCTGCTTCCACACGTTCAAGCAACCATCGGCCTTGTCTTGTGCCAAGCCCTTCCTTCATGTTAACACAAGCGTTGATTTTTCTTGCAAGGTGGGACTTGTCAAGATCGGACGAGAGCGAGCAAAAAGTTTCCACAGCACCACACAAAGCTTTGAACCCAACAGGATCTATCCTTCCCTTTGGGCCTCGTCGTTTTGGGCTCTTGCCAGCATCCCCACGTTGCACCATGTTGCGGATTGTCCGCCCAACCAATTTGGTTCCATGTTTTTGATTGTACTCCTTGGCGATGGTCTCTGCAGATTTTGGAACATACTCGAAACCCTGTGTCTTCTGTACTTCCACTTGAAGGAGCTCTTCCTTCCACTCTAGAGATGCTGCTTTGTAGAAGGCATTGTTGGTGTCTCGATCTTGTTTCTTCTGCTTTCGAACTGCGGCAGCTTGTCTGCCAGTCAATCGATTCTTCTTTGCAAGTTTCTCTTTGAGCGACTTTTCAGCGATTGCTCTTTCTGCCGCAGTGATGTTGGGTGGTGGCTTGACGGGTGCTTGATTGTTGTCATGGTCAGCTTTTGCAGCGGCTGCTTCGGACTTCAACGACCTTGATTTCCGACGAACTTTCTGTCTAAGATTTTGATTCTCTCTTGCCGGAGTATCAAATCCAGCCCACTCCATGGCTTGCACTACATTCATTCCTCCTGTCTGTGCGAGACTGTGGATACCAGCAGCTCTAGCGACCTTCTTTTTCAGCGGCGTCTCTTCCGCCATGGCTGGTTGATTGGTTAGATCGATCGATCCATACGAACGAAATGGCTGCACATCGCTCGAAGCTTTCCAACACGTTCGTTATCTTCTATCTCTAGCTATGATTAATAGTCTATGTTGGAAGCGTTGGCTGTTGGCCTGCCGGAGGTGCCCATTTTGCATTGATCGAGACCATATCACTTCCCAATGAGGAGACCATGAACCATTATTGCCGAGGGAGATGATATGCTTTCGGTCAAAATTGTGAGGGTCAGTTTTGGAGTGGCGGCAGGCCAACCTGCCACGTCATGACATTGGAATGGAAAAATTACTGTTAAAACCTGTACCTTTGGAAGCTATACAGGTAAATCTCGACTTGGAATTTATTTACGACTCCTAGACATCTGGCTCCAAAGTCCAGGCTTATGGGAGTCTCACCCTCTATGCTGCCCTGTTCCAAGGTACAACATCGGATGGTGCTGGGGGCAATTTTGACTTGGACTTTGTTTACAACCTCGATTTTCTTCAAGCCAAATTCACAAGGCGATTTTCCTCGTTTGTCTCATCATGCAGCGGCACGGGGGGCATTACCTCCAGCAGCACAACCATGGTCACTTCGACCTCTATCACCATTGAATCCGGAACTAATGATCTTGGTTGCGCCGCCACCGCGACGGCATCCATCACAACATTTGATGGCTCCGGTTTTACCCTCGCTTTCGACGACGGCGCAGGGATTGCTGCTACGGGAGTTGGTGCCTCCGGAGACTGCGCAATTACATGTTCATCTCCAACGGGCAGTCCTACTGGGGCTCCGTCAGCCGCTCCCGTCATCACCCCTACCGCGGCAGCTCCCGTCTCCCCGTCCGCTGATCCTCCACGGGGTACCCCCTGTTTTTCGGCAGATGCATCAGTTATGGTCCAGGACCTGGGGCTGGTCCCCATGAAGGATTTAGAAGTGGGAGACAGTGTCTTGGATGCCTTGGGAAACTACCAACCCATTTATACCTTTGGACATCAAACGATGGATCACGTGACAACCTTTCTCCAGATTCATACTGCCAGCAGCAAGCAACCAGTGGAGGCGTCGCCCGAACATTTCATTTTTCATGCTCATGGTCCTGTTCGAGCTGATGCCATCAAGGTTGGAGATTTTCTCCAAGGCATTCACGGCCAAGAACTGGAGGTTACCAAGATTTCTACCAGTACCACGTCCGGACTCTATGCCCCCTTTACCGCCAGTGGAACCATTGTGGTGGATGGAGTGGCCGCCTCTTCTTACATTTCTCTTGTGGATACTCAACTGGTTGGGTTTCTTTCCACCTTGAATCATGACCAGATTCATGCCGGTCTGGCTCCTCTCCGAGTCTTGTGCATGGGCGTGATGAAGACTGCGTGCAGTGGCGTCGACACCGAAGGCATGTCTCGGGCTGTTGCTGTTCTTCCCAAAGTCACCTTGTGGGTGCAATCTCAAAGTATGTGGATTCAGGTTCCCATGGCCATGGCGTATCTTCTAGTGTTTGCTCTTTGCTGGTCTCTGGAGATGATCTTTGGTCCGACCTTGGCGCTGAGTGGAGGAGTTGTGTTGGCTATGGTTGTATTCAAAGTTGTTGCATGGGGGAAGTGGGGTCGTATTGTGAAGGGGCAGAAGATGTAATTTCATCATTGGTACCGAACGGAGTGCAAATGTGTAGATATTGGAAGTGATTGTGAATGGCTCCAGTGGAGCGAGCGAAACAGAGTTGAGGTGGTAGACTATAGCACTATAGCACGATGGTTAATGACTTCTGGATAGTCGGTCGTCCAAGCCCTCCAACACAAGCCATCCAACACACCAGTAGTAGCCAGCTAATAAGTTGTGACCGGGAACCTACTACCTAGCTACTACACCCCTAGCTGGGAGGGTTGCTTGGTGGGTAGCTAGCTAATGCTAACTGGAAGCCAGGATAGCTCTAGCTGGGAGCAGTGCTGCTAGCTACTAGGGTTCCCTATCACTAGCTTGCTCGAGGGGTAGATGCATCTACTAGTAAAGCAAGCCCATGCCTGTTGGCCAAGCAATTGTAGCCCTCATTTCAATTCCGTGGTTGTTTTTGTGGGGTTGCTTTTCAAATGCTTCTGACAAGCCAACAAGTCTTTTTAAAAAACATTTGACCGGGGCCAAGAATGAGGAGTGATCGGGGACTTCTCATTCCCAGATCTTTCTTTCCTTTCGGGTTGTTCTTCGATCTCAACATCAAGAAGCAAGCAAGCTGACACAAACAAGATGTCCCCAACACTGGTCCAAAAGATCAAATATCATCGTGTCATCGAATAGTAATATACCCACCATGTCCTCTTCCTCGCTGGCCAAACTGAGATTGGTCGCCATCAACGATGTCTATGAGCTCACCAACCTGCCCAAGTTCCAAACCTTTTTGAAGCAATTGGAACCCAAGGCGACCGGCGTGTTGCTCGCGGGAGACTTTTTGTCTCCGTCCACCTTGTCGTCGATTGATGGAGGACGAGGCATGGTGGCCACGTTAAAGGCATGTGGTTTGACACATGTGTGTTTGGGAAATCACGAAGCCGATTTGCATTGGCCGCAATTGCACAGTCGCATGGAAGAATTGTGTCGATCATCGTCCATTACTGCTAATGCCCAACAGCAAGCAGTGACCTTTGTCAATACCAATCTGCGAGAACCACCGCCCGATGCCAAAGAAAAAGAATCCTGGTGGATGACAGGACCCATGGCTCCACCATACGCCATTGTCCCCACGCCGTGTGGTCGAGCATCGGTAGCCTTGTTGGGATTGTTGAGTGACGAAAAACGGGTCTTTCGAGATGAGACTTTTCGTGGAGCTCCCATTGCCAATGTCTTGACCAGTTTTCAAACTGTCTACGAACAACTCGTGGGAAAGACGGATTTTGTCATTCCCATGACGCACATGTCCATGAAACGCGACAAGGAATTGGCCATGACCATGTTGAACACCATGCAAAACAGCAATGGCCTGATAATAGGAGGACACGAACATGAACCGTACAATGTCAAGATATGGGCCAATGGTGAAACAGACGAAGAAAACAATGGCGATAACCACAACAATTCCTCAACCGAGGATCCCTACATTCAAATACTGAAAAGCGGAACGGATGCCCAAGGGGCCACACTGATTGATTTGACGTTTGATGTTTCGGAAAAGGAACACAACAATAACATCACTGCCCCACTGGTCGATATACAAGCGGATATTGTATCCATGGAACCCTATCAACCGTCCGTGGTGGTATCAACCATTGTCGAGGAACGCTTAAAGGTGGTCTCCGCATTGGACGAAGAGACCATCATCAACGCCGAAACACTCTTGCCACCGGGGATACCACTATCCTCGCAACGATCGCGACAAGAACAAACTACAGTAGGGGCCATTCTATGCAAGGCCATCAAAGACGAACTGGGTTCGTCTGTTTGTGATGTAGCCCTCATCAATGGAGCTACCATCAAGGGGGGACGCATGTACAACAAGGATCGCATGTCCTATGCGGACTTGAAAAAAGAATTACCATTTCCGACCAAAATGGTCGTGGTCCCCATGAAACGATGGGAACTACTCGAAGCAATCTACTATTCGAGAAGGTACAATGAAGAAGGCGTTGACACAAACGACAATGACGACATTCCACGACGTGGGTATCTACAAGTGGATTTGGATTTTGACATGGACCGACCGGCACCCTTGGACGACACCGTACGAGTAGCCCTGCCGCGCAACCTCATGGCGGGATTTTGTCAGATCAAACCCTTGATGGACCTGGGAAAGCAACTCAAAGATGAAGGCGTTTACCCCGACGCCGATGATTTCATCCCGGCGATTCAAGTCATTATTCGACACTTTTGTAAGAGCATGTGGTTGGATATCGTCAAGGAGTCGTTCACGTTTGAAGATATCGACTTGAACAAGGATGGTATGCTGGATCGAGAAGAGTAAGTGCAAGCCTTGCCGTTAACACTTTCCCCGGCGTTCACCATGGCTATCCACCTTTCACTCTGGCAACCGGAGGCGACGTAATCATGTTAGGGCTTGCCGCTGATCCATTATGTTCTGTCATGTTTTCATCGTTCATAGGATCAAGATCATGATGCAGAAGTTTCTAGGCCACGAGCCTCCCGATTTCGTGGTGGATGACATGATTGATGCAATTGATGCAGACGAGGATGGCGTTATTGACGCAGGTAAGTTGGACAACACAAGAGGCCCTCCCACTAGGCTGTCACTGATTCACTCACAAAGTCTTCTTCTACGTGTTGCCTCGTTCTCTGCCTTGAAGGAGAATTCAGCTTCCTCTTGGCGACGATGGAACGAGAAGATATATTCCGGAAGCTATAACTGGCTGACTAGAAAGCTACTGGTAGTCGGCAGGAACAGTCCAGAAACAAATTACGAGATCAGCTGATCGAGCGATTCATTCTGATTCGATTCAGTGGTCGGAACATTTCGATAGACCAAGGATCCTAGCCAGTTTGGAAACTGCACTCGTACTGTGGTCTAGCTGGCTGGACTAGTGCACTTCTTCGTTTCTGTCGCTAGAGCCACATACTGCAGTATCGATTTTGGGACGGTCTCCATCATCAACCAGCTACCGGTACCAGAGATACTGGGCCCAATTCTAAAGAAATAAGTTTAGGTTCTCAGAGGTTGCATGGCATGGTTTTTGGTTTTGGCATACTGCCAGTACTGTACCGGTACGGGTGCTACATGTACATGTACACCTCCCCAGAAGATTTGCCGCGTTGCAGTGCATGCACTGTACTGGTTGTGGGAGTTTCCAGTTTGGTACCATTACGACAGTTACCGTACCAAATCCTCCCATTGCGATGCCAAACATGTACTACCGTACCAGAGCTCTACCGGTAGTGTACGGTACGGACGCGACCAGCTCAGCTACAAAAGCTGCTACAAAGCTACAGCCAGCCAGCAATGAGAAATGAGAAGAACACTACAGGCCACAGACTTTTTAATGAATAAGTAATAATAGACTACTCAGTACTCAGTCGTAGCTACTACTAGCTAGAGTACTCTGTGGACAGTCGTACTGTAATGAACAGATCATGAACCCATGTTTAATGTGCTGGTGGCCATGTCGAAGATGCGACATAAGAGAGTGTCAACGTGTCAACTCTAGAGTAGAATCGAGTCGAGTCGTTCCAGAAATCGGACTCTCCAGAGTCCAGAGGTCCAGACTCTTCTTGGCACACAGGCACTCTCTTGGCCACCGATGGCCACTCGCAAGTTGCAATGGGCCGCTTGGCCTTGTCTTGCGGCAAAGAATTTTGAACACATGCTACAGTTGTACCGGTATTAAATTTTTGTCCCTTGTTCGTTATTTCTGAGGTCCAAGAACTCAAGAGGAGTATCGTGGAATGACTGAATGACGCCCCGATTGATAATCAGAAAGCCTTCTCGAACGAAGAGTAAGAGGTAAGGGGGCAGTCCAGATTAGAGGACACACACTGGGACTCTGGGACTCTATTATAGTAGTCAGATAAAGCAGCTGATAAAGCCTAAATGGTCAAATAATGGGCCATCGGTGGTTCTTTTGTTCAACTTCTCTTCCCCAATCGTCGATCCTAGCGTGTCCTTCAAAACCGGCATTGACTCATTGACTAGCTAATGATTACAGGGTCCGGAAACGGCAGCTCAACATTATTTCGACAGTTTCAAATTAATGAAATTAGCTTCAAAACAGTAAAAGTTTTTCGTTTCTCATCTCTCTGTGTGTTTTACCAAATAATTCGCCAAACTAGTCTTCAAACCTGAGCTTAAAAAACTGTAGTTTCACGAAACCTATAATGTAAACCTGAAATTTAAATCAGCTCACGGGTTGTGAAATAGCGAGCGGGTTTCCGGACGTTGTTGTCTAAGATTACAGTACCAATACCGCACCCAAAGCCACAGCGGAATCTTTAGAATAGTGCGGTGTGTTTGCCACTGAAGCTCCAAACACCAAACACTCTCACAATTCCTGCCACCAAAAACAGTTGAAGAGTTAAAACCAAAGAAGAATCTATTTACTTTCTCCACCATGTCAAAAATCAGCCAAGGTAAGCAGTTCTTCGGCGTCCATGCCATCACTGAGCTCGTTTTTTGTTTTGTAGTTTGATCTGACATCAACCTTCCTTCGTACTGGTATCATTTCAGTCTTCAATGTCGTGTTGGTGCTTCTGTGCCTTCTACTGAATGTTTCCGCCCAGGTGCGTGGCGCCAAAGGAGCCAATCCTCATCCAAGCAACGCTCTGCCCGTGAAATCGAATTCCGACGCTGCCCCATATACCGATGCCCTCAACGCCCAGCAGAACGCGGCTCGCGATCTCAGAACCATTTGCAGAAAAGGAAAGAGCTGCTAAAGTACATCCAAGCAGGTCCAGCAGCTGCAGAAGTTGGAACCAGACAATGAGCAGAATGGTGCTCTACTCCACAACATTGTATACTACATATTAGGGGTACTTAAGTACAGTACTAGCAGCATCATAATATTTTAAGCCAAGAGTCATATCCTTCCCTTATAGCTACCGGTAGTAGAAAGCAGATCCTTCCCTTATAGCTACCGGTAGTAGAAAGCAGATCCCGGTGTTGGCCCCGGGAATCTTCCGTACTTGGGCGGCTTCATCAAGAATTGCACTCTCACGAAGGATGGAATGATCATTTTATTAAAAGACCACCAATGCCGGGGATCAATGGCTCCTGATCTGCTCCTGGAATGATTGCTTCGGTAGTGAGTTGCGCTGTTGACTAGAGCACGAACACTGCCATGGCAAGGTTTGGGAACTTGAAACATGTATGTCTCCATAGCACCATGGAATGATTGCCCCAGTGCATCCCACAAACTCGCCTTGTAACCATTGCAATTGCCTTCAAACAAAATGAAAGGGAAGCCAGTACTTGTGGCAGCGTGGCAGCTGACACTTGCAACCTGCAGAAACGCAGAAACAAAGAATTCACTTGCAGATGTACCGGTTTCAACTACCCCAACGTTAGTGTTCCACCGATGTGTGGGTGTCCTCCACGTCCTCACAGGATCTGCTGCAGTGTAGATTGTACGTACCAGTACTTCTAAAGCTTATTGTCTGGAAAGTCCCGCAAAAGCTGAGTTTTTGGGATACTCTTTAATTAAACAGCTGATTGTTGAATAAATCCAACATGTGTTGAAAAAGTGTTGATTAAAGTGTTGAAGTACTGTTGATTTAATGTTGACTCCGTTTCAACAACTGTTGGATTTACTGTTGCATTTTTGTACATTATTTCAACACTTTTACTGTAACTATCTACTATTGGATTCAACATCTGTTGAATTCAGTGTTAAACAGTATTCAACAGTGTTGAAAAAGTGTTGAAAATGGTTTAAAAAAGCGTTGAACAACTGTTTAACAAAAGTCAACACTGTTGAACTTAAATTCAACACTTTTACAGATCCTTTCAGCGATTCCAGCTTTGCGGGACTTTCCTGGTACGAGTACCTATACCAGTACTACTGTATTATTAATAATAGTAGATCAGGATCGAGGATCGGGATCGGGGGCGATTACTTGTTACTTACGAGTACTTGTTACTTACTTGTGCTCATTGCTTTTTGCTTTTATTTATTTTAAAAAATAAAAAAAGCCTCTTGCTACTTTTTAGGCTTTCCGAATATTATTAATAGTAAGCGGTACGCTGTACCGGTACCGATACATGTGGGGTGTGAGAGTACGACTGTGAACTACTGTATAATAGATCAACAGTTAGACTACTGTGAAAGAATGGTTCACTGGGACATACAACTCGGATCCGTTCTCTGTTCTTTTACTCCTGCAGTATTAATTAATAGTACAATTCAAAGAACAGTAAGGTCCCATTAAACTTGACTCATTAAGTCTGATCGTTTCAATGGTCAAACGGTGGCAATTGAGAGGTGCAGCCACCTTGAGCTCACGTTGCACCTTGGCACTTGGCACCTTGGCTCTTGGTGCTTGGCACTTGGCACCAACGATCGAGTCGAGTCGGGTGACCGTCAAGGCTTTGTTTGATAGAACAGGAAATGCAACTCTGGATCCGATTGCTTCCAGCGTGTTCTTCCGTTGCGGCCCTTCTCCACCCTCCACCGTTCACTGTTCCGCTAGGTTTTGCCCATTGCTCGCGACAGCTTGTACTACGGTACGGTACGACTGTACGGTAATAAGCTTTTCAAGTAAGTGTCAGCAAAATAAAAGTTTCCACACTGGCAGCCACTCCATTCCTAAAAGGGTTCAATCAAAAAGCAAAAAAGACCGTGATGGAGAAAGAAGCTTCAGCAAACCAAGCGCCTCAAGAGGCAACGCTCCCCACGGGGACAACGCCAGTAAGAAGTCAAAGACTAAGTGTGGACACCGAAGAAGAATTGGAAGCTGCCGAGAACTCTCCTGCCGTCCAAGCTTTGATGGACTTTGACATTGACGAGATGGAAGCCAAGGAGAAGGCTCTTGACAGCAGAGTGGGGAACTCTACACCTGGCGCTCATCCTGCACAACCTCCATCCAGCTTGATGAATGTTGACGCCGAACGAGAAGCGGCCTTGGCGTCGGCGGGTGTCCAATCTGTGCTCCCCGAATATCAGGAAAAGCAGAAGAAATTACTCGAAACAGTCAGCGAACGCAGCCTTCTTTGCCAGGAGCCGTCCCTAGCCAGCGGGCAGTTCGTGAGGTTCAGATGCTCGAAGACAAGCTCATCAACATGGCACACAGCGGTGATGGTGGCGCGACGCTGGTTAGAGCTGGCACTGCCGAGGAGTCTGGCAGCTACCAGATAGCAGTTGGTGACGTTCAGATGCTCGAAGACAAGCTCGTCGACATGGCACACAGTGGCAATGGAGCGACCCTCGTACGAGCTGGAAATGCTGTCGGCTACAACGAGCAGTCAGTCAATGACGTTCGGATGCTTGAAGACAAGATTGTTGACATGGCGAACAGAGGAAAAGGAGCGAGACTCGTGCAATACGAAAATGCAGACTCGGATGTCGAGATTCTGGAGCAGAGAATCCTGGAGATGGCTCGGCGCGAAAGCGAGGCTTTGCCGGGAGCTTATGCCAACGGTCCTCCCCAGCAGCAGCAACAACAACCACAACAACCAGACCAGACGGAACAAGAATTGTTGGCGAGTGCTTTCGCAGCAGCGCCGGAGGGCGCACGGCATATGGACTCATCCACCGGCAGCTTCCAAAGCGAAGAATCAAGTTCACAGGGTTTGGTGGAGGCAAAGCCTGTCCGCGAAGAATCACTGTTGCGAATTCCAGAGGCCATTCCTTCAGACTCGGTGAGGAGCAGGAGGCAAAAATTGCTGGATGAAGACAAGAGATTCCGTCGATGGACTGCAGCTGCAGTCGCCGGCTTTTGCTTGATATTCATGACATTGATCGTGATTGTCGCTGTTGCTGTTCCTCCTAGAAACGGCGCTGAGACGACAGAAGTGCCAACGGAAAGTCCTGCAATTGGTCCTCCTTCCGTTGCACTGGTGGCCAACACCAGCTATGTCATCAATCTTCCTGATTACACAATTGAAGCATTGATGGATCAAAACTCCTCTCAATCAAAGGCATATGGCTGGCTCGAAGCAGACCCAATGCTGGAAGAGTATTCTAAGGAAAAGCTTCTACAACGGATGGCCCTAGCGACGTTTTTCTTTGCGACTTCCGGTGAAAGCTGGACTATCAACGAGGATTGGTTGTCCTATGATGTGGACGAATGCAGCTGGTTCAGCAAGTATAATATATCAGGGGCAACAGGTGGAACCGCTGATCTTCTTGGCTGGATTATTGTAGATCAATTCCATGGACCTGACGTCTGTGACAACAAAGGCAGCTATCTCCAGCTTGTCTTGCCACACAATGGGCTCACATCAACCAGCAATCTTCCCAAGGAGATCACACTTCTATCCAACTTGAAGAGGTTGGACGTTGCAGGAAACCAACTCAAGGGCCAACTTATCTCAGAAATTGGAAATCTGGATACCCTACAAGAGCTTACCATTGGGGAAAATCCCATGACTGGAACGATTCCCTCAGAGCTTGGGTTGTTGACAGAAATCCAGTACCTCTTTTGTGCTGACATGGCTCTTACTTCAACACTTCCCACAGAATTGGGCAAGATGGTCAACATGAAAGAAATGTATATTGGAAAAGTGGATATGACAGGGCCTATCCCATCGGAGATTTCACAGATGAGCCATCTATCTGCTCTTGGTAGGTTGAAAAGTTTTGGTGGTTAAACTTGGTTCCTTGCAGCGGTTTTCTCAACCTTTGGTTTAAACCCATTCTTTTGTTGCACAGATCTGTCACGAGCAGGCCTTACTGGTACCCTACCAATTGGTATTGGAAACCTTACTTTTCTGAAATACCTTCATCTCAATAAGAATAGTATCAGTGGAACACTTCCCACCGAGGTTGGTCTTCTTACAGCCATGGAAAGCTTAATCTGTACGTCCCATCAAGGAACGTTATGTGCCAGTGCGCACTGCATGTATGCTAAGTCTGTTTCTTTGCTGTCCACAGTGAACCACAATCAGCTATCAGGAACAATACCTTCAGAGATTGGCAATCTTCCAAGCTTTCGTGATCTAGTTTTCGTAAGTTCCGTGACCAATGAGATTACAGAAGAACCCCCCAAGCACCCTCTAACTAATGTAATTGTTTGTCCAATCCCCAGGAGACCAACCAAATCACAGGAGCCGTTCCCTCGGAGATTGGACAACTCTCGAATCTTGAAATCATGGCCCTAGGTGACTTGCTGATCACTGGGACAATCCCATTGGAAGTATGGCTGCTTCCTTCCCTCTGGTTCTTTGGTATCTCTCAAAACAATGTTGAAGGCAGCATCCCCACTGAAATTGGGCTTGCAAGCATGGATCTTCTGTATATTTATGATAATGCTTGGAGTGGTGGCATCCCTTCGGAGATTGGTCTTCACACGGGTCTCCTTGAACTTTCGATTGAAAGGTCAACGCTGAGTGGGACCCTGCCAAGTGAGATGGCTCTTCTTTCCAATTTGCAGTATGTTTGGATGCATGACACTCCACTCTCTGGAAGTTTCCCCTGGACCCCTGGAAATGAAACACAAATGATCTGGATGTGGCTCAATGGAACCATGCTAGAAGGGGAGATCCCAGACAAGTATTGCTCTATCGAGTGGTTGGTGTTTGATTGTCCTGACATGTGCGGGTGTGATTGTCCCTGTCCCACCGTGAACCCAAATGCAACTGCAACACTACTGGCCACTAATGACACAGATTCCAGGTGAAACTATATACCGGAAGGCCGGGGCTGATTGTCTGTGGTAGGAATGAAGATTGCAATGTTTTTAGTTCCTCTATTCACTGTCGCTTCTTTTTCATGTGTAGAGATTGTAGCAAAGCCGCTTCAGCAGCTAGTACCGGTAGGCACCAGCATAGCTACCAGAAAGGCTGCAGCAGTTCTGTTGCCATCCAAGGAAGATACATTTTCTTTGGCTACCGTAGCTACTACTATTAGTAGCTGTTGCGGTTGTGTCGTTCATCGTTCATGAGATTGGTCCTATTTTTAAAAATAGGTAGCTGCGGTCATTTTCGGCACGTGCCCTTTGATTTGCGTGGTGTTTTATTTGCGACTAAAAGACATTATCCGTGATCTGAATGACCTTTCACTCGACCGCTCGACCGCTCTCCTCGAGTGACATCATGAAACGGAACGACATGTTTTCAACCAAGCTTCGGATCAAGCCGCACTGTTGGGTCAAGTACAAGAGAGCTCAAGACCCCGCATCCGATCGGGTTGACTATCGATAGGTCATCTATCGATCGTATGGTGTTGGTCGTCGAAAGTTCTGATTGATGTGATCGTGTCATACTGTACAATCAATCTTCTCCAGTGCACAACCTCCAATCTTCGGTCATACACATCGACCTCTCTAGCTAGCTTTGCAAGCCCAAGCCCAACTCTATCCACCATCTTCTAGCTATACAGTAGCCAGCTAGTTTGGGCACAAGCTATCAATTTCGTGATGCCGCAACAGTCGTTGTTTCGAGGCTCGTTAGCTTCCACTTCGTCTCAGAACAATGGCGGCGGTCTGCGAGGTCTCCGATCCAGATCCGCCTTGCCTCTCTGTACCAAATGGCGCATCTTGCAGTGGATGATGTTCCTGGGGTTACTGATTGGTGTGGGATTTGCCATTCATGCGATGCAAAGCCAACAGGAAGAGAACAACTTTGAACAGGCGGTATGTACAACACTGAATGAAAACAGAATCAAGAAATGCCACTCCATTTTATTTTGTTCTCATCGGTTGTTCTTTCGTTCCTCTCGTCCAGTTTCAAACAACATCCGACCAAATACTACTCGATGCTGACCAGGCCATTCAAAGGTCTGCTGCCCTGCTTGAAACGTTGGCTCTCTCCATGGCCACCAGTGCTCGTGGTGATACTAGCAGTAGCACCGAAAACAATCGTCTCTCGTGGCCCTTGGTCACGGTGGATCATTTTGACCTGCTGGCGCAAAATTACCAACAACAATCTCATGCCGCCGTGGTGGCATATGCACCCATTGTCCGCAATCCAACCGAATGGCAAGAATTTGCCACGCAACAATTACCTCCCGGCATTACCAAATACGCCTTCAAGGTGGTAGATGGAGTTCTAGTGCAAGATTTTAGCACATTCATGACACCACTCTTTCAAGTTTTTCCCGGCAACGCCACCACGACCAGTAGCGGCTTCTCCATGATGAATTTCAATCTATACGAGATCCCGTGGCTACAAAAGCTCATTTTGTCGGCTGCCGCCAACCAGCAGGCTGCAGTGTCGCATATCATTCAAGACTTGGATCAAGATTTGCCATTGCTATTTCCACACTTGGCGCAATCGGCAATCTACGGCAATGACACTTGGAGTGTTTGGGTGCAACCCATCTTTGAGGACAATACTCATACTAATAATAACAACAACAACAAGCCAGAAGAAGAAGCAGGCGCGGTAGTGGTGGGATACGTCTTGGCCCTGGTGCCATGGGGACCCACATTGTTTGGTCCGCAACGGACCGAGTCGGAGGGGTCCACGCTTTCCGTGTTGCAAGAGGGCGCACCCAACCATACCACTTTTACGTACCACCTGGATGGAACGAGCATATCGTATTTGGGACCCGGAGATTCCTGGGTGGAAACACAAGCGTACGGTGGGGGTGAAATCATGTCAAACAAAGATGATGACAATTCCAGACGGCGTCTGCGGAGGCGGTCGTTGCAACAAGCGGTGGAGGAGGAGCCACCACAACAATCTGCTCCGACCAAAGCCCCGTTTCAGATACACGTCTACCCCACCAACGACTTTCACGATTCGTACAGCAGCAGCTCGCCGGCAACGTTTACGGCCATTGTCATTGCACTTTTGGCATTAGTGGCTCTGTGGTTTGCGCTATGCCAATACTGCCATGACAAGGAAGTGCTCCGCCAAATCATCGCCTACGAAGCTTTGAATGGGGTGGATTGGGTTCGGGGACAGCAGCAACGAGAAAAGGGATTGCCCGAAAACAATAAACAACTCATGAGAGCCTTCCTGGCCGATCAAGAACATCAAGCACCCACAGATCGCGGCGTTCTGGATGCCAGTTCAGGACGATGGTCCGAAACCAACACAAACCCAAACAATATCAACGACAGTAGTGCAGCCGACCTGGACAATCTGAGTAATCACAGTTCCCATCATCCACAAGAAAACCTCGAAGTGTCACTGTTACCCGCTTTTCGGAACAGCAAACCCGTGGCCGATTTGTTTCCCTCGGCTACGGTACTGTTTGCCGACATTAAGGGCTTTACGCCATGGTCCTCGGTGCGGTCGCCTGCCGAAGCATTTTGTTTGTTGGAATCGTTATATGATACATGGGATAGGTTGGCACAAAAGCGTCGTGTCTTTCGCGTGGAAACGGTAAGAACCTTCGTTGAGTCGAGACGAGATGCAGTCGTGGTGGAAATTGACTCACCACATTATTTGACCCTTTATTGACTCTGTCTGTGTCGTCAATAGATTGGGGATTGCTATACGGCCGTTTGTGGTAAGTTCGTTGATGCAATACACACGAGAGGATTTCGCTGATGATGAGAAACAATGACGTCTTACCAATCGTTTTCACTTAGGCCTTCCGGAGCGACGGCCCGACCATGCTGTGGCTTTGTGTCACTACGCCCGCGGTTGCATGAGGAGGTTCCGAGAGCTGACGAGAATGGTACGTTGCTTTTGACGGAAGGTCTGATCGGCCACCTGAAATCGATTGCATTGCGTATCTCACCCAAATGACAATCAATCTTTGCTGGCAAGGACAGCTGGATACAAAGCTTGGGCCTGAGACCAGTGAGCTAGCTTTGCGTGTCGGGATCAACAGTGGCCCGATCATGGCCGGGATCTTGAGGGGTGGAGCCGGGTCGCAATCGAGCAAATTTCAGCTCTTTGGGGACACGGTCTCACTGGCTCAAAAGATTGAACATGGTGGAGCAGGCGGTAGGATACACCTCTCCAAAGAGACGGCGGCTCAGTTGAGAGAGGCAGGGAAAGCCCATTGGGTGCAAGAGAGGGAGGATAGGATGATTACCAAGAAAGGAGAATTAGTTACCTACTGGCTCGTTGACGACCTGGAAGAAGAACAGGCAGCATTCAGTGGTGTGGGCGTGGGTCTGAATGTACACGCCAACGACATGCCCGAGCAGACACTTGGGATATCTGACGATGAAACCAAGGCGAAGATGACGCGCTTGATTGGCTGGACCTATGAGATTATGTTTCCTCTTTTGAAGATGATTGTAGCACGGCGTACTGCTGAAAAGGAACGCAAGGTGCTTACAGAGAATCCCTCTGGTGTTGCCTGGTTGGAACGGGAAATCGGGAGCACCAACAATGTTCTGGACGAGGTTGAAGAAGTTATAAGCCTCCCTCATTATGATGCAAAGGTGCAGAAGAAGATCAAGCCTGACAATGTCGAACTGGATTTTCAAGTGGAGGCACAACTGGAGGAGTACTTGACGGTTATTGCGAACCTGTATCACAGCAATCCTTTCCACAACGTGTCTCACGCCATGCACATGACGCTGTCGGCGACGAAGATGCTCAACCGTATAGTTAGGCCTGAAGCAGTGATTGATCGCTCTTCTGGCAAGAAGAAGAAGCAGGTCGATTCCGAGTTGCATGACTACACGTACGTTATTTGTGTCTCCTGCTCCACGAGGTTTATACAGCACAAGTGCACTCATTTTCCTTCGGAAAACATCCAGGTATGGGATAAACAGGTAAGTGCAGAACATTTTCCCGTCTATCTCTGTATACTCAATTATCATGGCAGCTTTCGCTGACATATCGCTTTTTCTCCCATGCAGTGACCCCCTTACACAATTTGCTGTGATTCTAGCTGCTTTGATTCATGACGTGTACGTTGCATGCGTCAACTTTCATCTTTTCCTTGAGGTTGCTGTTCCGGCCGTTTCCTTACCTCGAAGAACTTTTGCTTGCATTTCATGTCATAGAGACCATCGTGGAGTACCGAACAATGTCCTTTGCAAGGAAGAACAAGAGCTAGCGGCTGTGTATGACAACAAGAGTGTGGCTGAGCAGGTCTGTTTGCTATTGTATGTAATGTCAGAAACAGTCGCTCTTTTCTGTTTCTTTCTTATGTTCCATGTCTGCTTTTAGAACTCTGTTGACATTGCTTGGGAGTGTCTCATGGATCCTCGCTTCAAGGAACTACGCAAATGTATATATGCCAACGAGGCTGAATTGAGACGTTTCCGTGCCTTGCTGGTCAACTGTGTTATGAGCACAGACATATTTGACAAGCAGCTCTCTGGTGAGAATCGTCTAAACATTCGTAGCAATCCTTGTGCTGATGTGCTCATGTAAATCTCCATTCTCCCACTCTGTTCACACTTGTCCCTTGTGTAACTGCAAGCTCTGAGAAAAGCAAGGTGGGAGAAAGCATTTCAGGTCCGAGATGATCAAGCCACCCCAGAAGAAATCAACCGGAAGGCAACAATTGTTGTGAGTTTCTTGTGGCCAAGTTGCCAAGTTCTGCCTCTTCACTCTTCTTATCCAGTGATTGTTGTCCATCCCCTCCACAGATTGAGCATTTGATTCAAGCATCTGATGTGTCACACTGGTGAGTAAAACAGGAAAAGGGGAGTCTGAGTGACTTGGTCCTGGTACATTCTGATCAATATGTTCTTTCGCTCTTCCTTTCCTCAGTATGCAACACTGGCATGTGTACCAACGATGGAATGAGCGCCTCTTCCATGAAATGTACCGATCATTCAGGCTTGGAAGGTCACGTAAGTGCAGGAAATGTATGTTGCCACTTGATCATTGTGGAGATGCACTAGCTGATCCTCGCTCCATGAATCTTGCAACAGCCAAAGACCCCTCCGAAGGCTGGTACAAGGGCGAAATCTGGTTTTTCGACAATTACGTGATACCGCTGGCCAAGAAGCTCAATCAATGTGGGGTGTTTGGTGTCTCCAGCGATGAATATTTGACCTACGCCCAGTCGAATCGCAACGAGTGGGAAGAAAAAGGGCAACAACTGGTTGATAAAATGATCAAGAAGTACAAAGCAATGCTGGACGAAGAAGAGAAGAAGAAGGTTCGCAGATCTAGGAGGTCAGCGAAACAAGCATAGAAGGCATAGAATGGAAACATCTGTAAAACTAGAGCTACAAGCAGCTACCTGAATAGAAGCAAGAGTGGGGTGGAACACCATCTAGCTAGCTCGCCACGAGCGTTAAGCTGTCATGATTACACAGGAGAACGTTCACCCCTTGGCTACATGGCACAGTCAGTTTTCAAACTTAATAGTTATTTGATGATGTGAGTCAAGAGGAGCCATTGCTACGACCACAGGCAGGAAACCTCGCTGCAACAAATTCGTTTGCAACTTTGAGCTAGGCACTGCTTTGTGGCTGATGGCAGCTTCTTCACTGGCAATGATACAGATTGTGTTGTATTCTGCGACGGCACCATCAACGAACACCGAGAAGACTGCTTTCTCGAGCCAGCTTTGACTTGGTTCTTTGCCATTGACTCGAAGTGCCATCAGAAAGTCACCACAACCCAGTACCGACATCTCGACAGCACCATCTGGGTTGACCTGAATGTCTTTGACTGCCCCGCCTGCGTTGATTCTACCTTCCCACCCCAGTGCCACAAAATCCACAGTTCCCACCCCGCACGATACTTGGTGAATCGGGTAAACCGTGAGTGCGTTAGACTGGCTCCGCTGCAATCGAATGCTCATGGCAGCGCCGGGGCTGGGAAGAATTTCCACGGTATGGGCGACAAAGGAGGTGGCAAGAAAGGACATTCCAGCATAGCGGTGTGCAGCAAAGACCGGAATCAAAGCAGGGCTCAGCTCTACATCCGCTCCCCCATCCTCCTCCAAGTCTGTCCCTGCCATCCTATCGTTTGACACATACGTCAACTTTGAATAATCCCAAGTTCCACCCGCAGCAAAATGGAACAGGCCAAAGATGCCACTGGTCGTAGTTTCCCTTTCGCCATCATCACTCTGTTCGTCATGGGCAAAGCCGCCTCCATTCGTATTCCAAAGAACCAGTGGTTCAGCATTTGAAGCGAGCGGATCTTGCAGCAAGCAGTTTGGCAACGGCAAAGCCGTGCCACGACAAGGTAGTGTCGTCCCATTCGGGCAACAGATCCAGTCCATCCATTTGGGGCGGCCGCGCTCCATTTTCTCGGGCGAGGAACTAAAGTAGATTGGGCCTCCGCTGATGCATCGAGCAATGGCATGGCATTGCAAGATGTCTTCTCCAATCTCCGGTCCAGTGGCAAACATGTCCCAATCCGGGATTGCAACGTGCTGAAAGAGCAGCGAGTTATAAGCACAAGCCACTATTTGTGGTCCATGGGAATGTGGATTGTCCGGGTAAAAGTCATCGGCTGCTCGAAAAAAGGGCACCCCTTTACCACCGTACAAGGTTGGAAAACGGTAGAAGATTTCGGGTGCATGGGCCATGCAATGTAGAATCGAAGGATTTGTCGGTTGCTTTGGTGGAATGTCCGTTTCACCACTTGTCCTGTGAGAACTTGCTGCTACAAAGTTTGCCAAGGCACTCGTGGCGATGGCATCGTGCAAACGAAACACGGGTGCGTCTCGTTCTTTCGGCTGTGCACTCTCATTGTTGTTTTCGGCACCATCATCTGCTCTGCTGGCCTGTAGTATACCAATGACACCCTGGGCGTCTACCTTGACTCCGTCCACCTGGCAATCCCCCGCCAAGAAATCTGTGTGATAGCGTCTAAAAAAGTCGTCGGCGTCGTTGGGAATGCCAATCCCTTTCTCCACACTTGCTTCCACAGATGCCGATGCATCACTGTCAATGATACCGGTCGGAAAGTGTGGGTAGTGTATTGCGGCCTGCTCCTGAAACGAGCCGCTTTTGGGGTTGACCCCCAACCAATATCCTGCCAATGTATGCCACACCCACACCGACTGAATGCCGAGATCCCGTTTCAATTGTTGCACCGTCTCTTGGAGCGACAAGTTGGCAAATTTGACAGGATCTTCCCGGTAGGATTGTAGTCGTTGCGACCATTGAAATCCGTCCGCTTTGTCAGCTGCTTCTGATGGAGTGGTGATGTGCTGCCACCCGTCATCGACAATCATCCACTGAATGGGAGCACCATGGTCTTGCTGGAGCGCACGAACTGCTTGGACCAGTTTTGGCCCCGTCACATTTGTATAACAGGCATTCCATGAACACCAACCCAACTTTTCCAGAATGACATTGTTTCGTTGTGTACGGTCGTGCAAGGTCGAGGACGAAAAAGAGGTTGTGGGAGAATTCCAGAGTTGAGTAGCCAGTGACACACCCTCCTGTATCAAAGCATAAGGATCTTTGCCAATTCCAACATACAACCCAGTCTCCTTGTGATTGCTATACAGGAGCAGCTCTTCTCGTTGACCTACGTAACTCCCTCTGAGAGAAGACGAGGCAAAGGATTTGTGGTGGTGATTGTTCAAGGGCAACACGACAGGCAGAACCAGTCTGTATTGATCTTGAATTAGCTCCAGCAAGAGGAGAGTTTCGGGTGGGACGGGACGTTGAAAGACGGGTCGGCACCACCAAATTTTGAAGCGATGAATGGCACACAGAGGATCCGTCGTCTTTCCCAGTTGAACCGTTTGTGGGGAGAGAACGCGTACAAACACAGCTGCTTCTTCTCCTGGTCGAAGGGTGGTTGTTGGCTGATGGACAAGAGAAAACTTGGAGAGGTTTCCGTACGTGCCCGTCAAGAGAACCACACTATCGTCGTCACTTGTTACTGACGATGATGTCGCCATCATAATGTTGAGAGAAAGATAAGGTTTCACAGAATCTGATCGAAAGGCACTTCTTTGACGTCTTGGCCATTGCAAAGTCAGAGTCCAAGCCCAGCAAAATCTCGAGAACAGACAAAATAATATTAGGATAAGGAAGACAACAACGTTTGGAATTGTTTGTCGTTCCCTTGCTACATGTACCAATAGGGACATGAGCTACAAGTTGATTCGATTCAATTCTGCTGTGAGACCACCATATTTATACCATTGTCAACTTTTTGGTGATACAGGAGTACTACAGTACACTGTAGGTAACGCAAACCACTACCTAGCTAGCTAGCTACTGGTACTGGTGAGGCGGAAGTCTATCGTTATTGGGTACATGTACACGCGCACAGCCGTATTGATTGTTGATTCGATTCGATTCGATTCGACTCGAATGATTCGATTCGAATGATTCGATTCAAAACTCGTGACTGATTCCTTGGAAAAATAATAAAAAGGGAACGAACCATGCTAGCTAGCATGAGGGTGACAGCGAGCTGATGCTGAGTTATTGCCTCCTTGCATTGGTTCAACGTTGGACATTGCCTGTGCTCCGCCAACCGCTCCTAAATCTTAGTTTGTGCTGGCAGTGACTGGTGCCAGTACAAAAATATTTTGACCATTGTGAATTGTGAACGCTATCCGTTCTCTTAGTTGCCGTTTTGTTTGGCCATCCTCTGACTCTCGACTTCACGAAAAGATACTATTCGTACCGATGCTACATCTGCTGTGTACGGTAGTATCAAAGCTCCTGACTTCTCCGATTAAATCTACGTTGCGGTGGAGAGAGTTATAATATGTTCCAGCGTTCCAGTGGTGCTTTTGCACTTTTGCACCTCGAGGGCTATGGGTTGCTGAGAACTGATGAGAATGCTGTATCAGCTCTCCGCTGGCGGAGGAATTATTCAATAGGTCAGTAAGTTCGGTAAGCAAATAGTTCGATCGGCCCAACCCGTAAGGAACTGGTCGTCTTGGTGCGGCTGCATGATGGTTGCCATCCAGATAGCTACTAGATTAGCTAGCTTGAAGAAAATCTAGCTAGCTAGGCTCGAGGTACTAGTACCTGGTAGCTCTACGGATCAAGAGCAAATCTTTCCTGCACGGACACCACATTGCAGCTGGATTGTTGAGGCTGTTGTATCGGTGGTACTGTAGTGGTCACTTACTTGACCACTTGCTCGGCCTTCCCCTTTTTGGCTATTATACATAATAGCTCAACAAGGAGAACGATGATAGAGTAAATGTCATTTTAAGACCGAGCGAAGATTAAGACCATGATAATTGATAGAGGTGCGTACGTAGAATCCTACGTAGCTTCAGTACCAGAGCGATAGTGGTGCTTCCTATGTGTTCCGTAGGATCTTACAGGACTCTCGTATGTAGGATCCTACGTAGTTCAGTATCAGGCAGCCTTAATATGCAAATAAAAAGAATTCGTGTCAGAAATGGAGATATTTTCAAACTCCCATAACTCCTTCAATATGTGTCACATGAAATAGGGAATTTAATGGAATACTCAACAACATGTGCTCTTTCGATTCAGCTACTTAGAAGTACAATATTCCATATACAGCTCTGAAGAGAATAAACCGGGGAAAGGTCGGTCGTAAATCGCATATCACTCTAGTAGTCTAATAAGTCAGTAATTCTTTGAACAGCTGGCTATTAATAGACATTACTCTGAGTAAAATAAATGCTTGTACTGTACCTTCTTGTGTGCATAGGGGTGGGAAATCCATTGCTCATAATTGCCAATACCGCTGTCTACCGCTGTCTTCCAAGGAGCCCAAGGGATCCACAATGAATGGCACTGGATTTCTCCACCCCCCAGGTCTTAAAAGTAATTCTACTTCGCCTCTTTCTATTGCACCATTGCCCTCCTTTGTTCGACATCTGGTAGGTACCGGTAGCATGATATGGCACGCATTTTTTTTGATTAGCCATGTACGAACCGGAGTAGTACCGTACCAGGTACAGTCGTACCTACTCTGACTCGACTCGACTCTCTGACTCTGGTGTAAAAAGCCTTTGATCTAAAACGTGAAGACTTTTAAAAGAGTCATTGAAATCCTAAAAGTACAGACCGCTGACTCAGAACTCAGAACTTCTAATTCTAAAGAGTGACAGTCGAGTCGAGTGTGAGTCACTTCAAGTTACAGCGCTGTGGTACCGGTAGGTGACGAGTGACCCTACCGTACGACAGCTATCTTATACTCTTTGTCCAGTATTTGTGTTGTCCTCTCTTCCCGGTCGATAGCCAGTAGCCACCCTCTTATGGCTTTACGAGTACGTTTTCGGGTTGACTGAATTCTCGCTCAGCAACTTAGTCTAGTTTTCTTGGTTCAAATTACATACCAGGTACTGGTAGCTTCGACCTCTTCTTGGTTGGGGACCACGCAGTACCGCGGGAAGGACAAGAGATCTTTGGTCTCGACCTTTCGGTCCTTCCTCCCTCACAAAAACTGTGTGTCTGAGCCATAGCAGAGCTTCGAGCCAATCCTAGCTTCGAGCCAATCCTAACTTTGAACTATGACGCCTCTCCCCGATCAACATCCCACGGACCATGACGACGAAGCTGGCGATGATGATTCTTTCGCTATGAGCACCACATTCGAGAACGAGGGAATGGCTGTGGGTGCCGATGCCTCGGCAGAAGAACGGCGCAATCTTGCTCGAACGGAGACTCGTCGAGTCTTTGTCCTCAAGACGGTCATCTTTGTGGTGTTGATTCTAGCTACCATTGCCACCTCGGTGGCTGTGTTTTCATATGCTCGATCCGAAGAAGACGCGGACTTTGAGCATGAGTTTGAATCCCATGCCACCAAGGTCTTTCAATCCTTCCATGGTGCCGTCTATCGCAAGTTGGGCGTTCTCGATACCTTCTCCACAAGCATCACTCTGTTTGCGCTCGAGAATAACTTGACATTTCCCTTTGTAACCTTGCCATTCTATGAGCTACGGGGGCAAGCGACACGGTGAGTACTGTACACACACGTTCGCTACAGAATGTACACCCTGGTCTCTGCACATAGGTGCCATTCTCACGCACTTCTGTTTTGCTTCCTGCCTCCCTTTCTTCACAGTGCCTTGGCGGAAGGCATTCGGTTGGATTACATGCCATTGGTCACGGACGCTCTGAGGCCAGTATGGGAAGAGTACGCCCAACAGAACCAGGGATGGCTCGACAAAGCTGTCAAACAAGATGCAGAACTCCGACGAAGACAGGATGAACGCTTTGGGATCGAGACGGTGGAGTTGGAACCCGAAGGAAACACAGCTGCTAAGAATGCCTCCGCTGTCTTTGCCACCGGATCCAACAACTACAACGACCGAATCTACTCAAAGTTTGGGAAACTGGATGGCGGAGTGGAAGAAGAAGGCACAGGGCCATTCCTTCCCATTTGGCAAGTCTCACCGGCAACACCTACCAAGGGAATTCTTAACTTCAACCTCCTAAATTCCGCATCCGGTGGAGCTCTCCGCGCTACCTTGGAGACACACAAGGCAGTCTTGGGGGAACCTCTGGCTTTGAAGGACCCCAATTACACGTCGCAAGGTTCCTGGAACGCCAACTTTCTAAAGACTCTTCAACGGGGACAGTACCGCCACATGCTGGACGACCTGAAGGGGGATCCCAGCAGTAACTTTGTCTATCCAATCTTTGACACGTTCAGTGCTGATCGCACTTTGGCCGGTGCCATTCGTACAAGCATCTTTTGGCGAAAGTACTTCATCGATATCCTTCCCGAATCTTCCCGTGGAGGACTCATTGCCGTATTGTCCAACACGCATAACCAAACATTCAGCTATCGGTAAGGCATTCTCAAACTCGACCCCTTTGCGACCTTGATCCCGACCTCACATATCATATCGGTCTTTTTGCTTGTTGGCTCGTCCATTTTAGAATCGAAGGTGCTTCCGCGACCTTCTTGGGTCCTGGTGATCATCATGACCCGCGTTTTGAAGACACGGGGTTAACTCAGGATGTTGACAAGGATCTGAAGCAAACCTTTGCCCTGGAGAAGACATCCTTTACACAAGCTGATCTGAACACGGACTACTGTGGGTATACGCTGGCCCTCTACCCATCACAAGCATTTCAAGACCAGTTCCATTCCAATGGGCCTATCATCTTTTCATTGGTTGTTGTAGCAGTCTTCCTTGTTACAGCTGCCATCTTCATTACATATGACTGTCTTGTTGAAAAAAGGCAGTCTGTGGTGATGAATAGAGCTGTGGCTTCAGGAGCCATCGTGGCCTCACTCTTCCCCGAACATGTCAAGGATCAACTGATCGAAGAGAAGCAAACCAAGCAAAGCCTCCCCGTCTCTCCTGTTTCCAAGGTCGTCAGTAAAGCTGCGTTTGTTACCAAGAACTTGACCAATAGCACCTGGAGTGCAAGCAATGACGAGCCTCGGCGTTCTTCGTACAGCGGTCCCGCAGATCCATCGATGCATTCGTCATTGCAAGGAACCCCTCTGATTGCTGATCTTTACGAGGAAGCCAGCATCCTATTTTGTGACTTGGTAGGGTTCACGGTGAGTTTTCTCAAAGTCAAAGCAGAAAGTCAAAGCAGGAAGAATACCGGTACCGTGCCCTTGGGACCATCCTCTCACAGGTTTCTTTCTCCAATTGTGACAGGCATGGAGCTCCAGTCGCAAGCCTAAAGAGGTCTTTCAGTTGTTGGAAGCAATCTTTGGAGCATTTGACAAGGAAGCAGAAAAGAAACGCATCTACAAGATTGAAACGGTGAGTGTATCCTGCGTACTCAAAACACATAAAAACCATCTCTGTCCTAACTCAATTCGGATCTTTCATCACTGTAGATTGGAGATTGCTATGTCGCAGTAAGTTTGACTCCGCTTGGATCTGACTAGTTCTACTAGGCAACATGACTCAGTGCTCACTTGTTTGGTTGTGCTGGGATTGCTTTTCTCAGGCTACAGGTGTTCCAAAGCCCCAAGTCGAACATGCTGTGATTCTCTGTAGGTTTGCCCAAGAGTGCCAAGACATTCTGAAGAGGGTCACGATGCAACTCGTTGGAACTCTCGGTGAAGACACCGCTAATCTTCAGGTAAGCTTTCTTTGCTACAGTATCAACAGGGCAATGCAAGAGTTGATGCATGGCTCATGATGAAGTATATCCACCTCTCCACTCGTTTCCAGGCACGCATTGGCATTCATTCTGGCCCAGTCACAGGTGGTGTCTTGCGGGCGAATCGAGGTCAACGTTTCCAGCTGTTTGGGGATACAATGAATGTTACGAGCCGTTGCGAAACCAACGGATCCCCAGGTAGAATCCAGGTCACACAGGCTACGGCAGATCTTCTCACTGCCCGGGGCAAATCATCTTGGTTGACCAAGAGGGAGGATCTGGTTCAAGCCAAGGGCAAGGGGGCAATGCAGTGTTATTGGGTATCTCCCTCTGGTCCAGGTACCGTGACAACGCTCAGCACATACGATACCAGTACACATGAGGGCAGCGCCGCCTTTGGTTGTGATCGTTCGGTTGCGTCAAAGCGAGATAGCATTTCCTTGTAATTAGTATATGAATACATCTTTTCCATCATCCCCAAACCAACTCCAGTCTTTGTTTGATTCGTTTGCTGATGATCAATCCGATGGCAAGTCTCTTCTCCAAAAAGAGGGTACAGAGGGACATGGGCGATGGCCAGCGCACACATACATTGGAAGACATGCTACCAGGAACCGGTATGAATGGACCTGGTCAAACCTTATGTTGTGGTGCTGGCTGCGTGTTGTTCCGTCGCCCAAGTCCTTCTTTGGGACAGAGCAGCCCAAAAACTTCAAAACTTCTCCGTGTTCTGCCTCCAAAGTGAACAGAGTACATGTAATACGTACCAGTACCTCCTCCAAAAGAGAACTTCCAGTTATCCAGGAGCTGGGCCCGCTTACTTCTGCAATCAAAAAGACGCCGCCCCATGGAAGCATGACCTTGAAGAGATCGCACTACAGTTAGTTGACCTTACAGACTACCAATGACACACTCTAGCTATCGCGGCATCCAAGCACAAGTAAGTTTGCAGCCCACAAAAAAAGGCTATCTATTCTTATGGTTCTTCTATCCAAAGTGCAGTAGTAGCAGCCCCACCGCGACAGACAGACAAACGCAAACAAACCCTTATAGCTGACACAGAGACGGATTCAATCGCAAAAAGTAGTAGAGGGCTTCGAGGCGAATATCGCGATCCGATCTGACCGCCATGGCCAAGAGGTCGGTCCAGTCCGAGCGGGAATATGTATGGTATTCCTGCATCAAGTGCTGTCGTCGTTTGGATTGATTCAATGCCAGATAAAAGTGTATCATCCCCATCAATCTCGCATCGTTCTTGGTGGGAATGTTGCTGCTGCCATAATCATCCAACACGAGGTGTTCCAAGGTATAATTGGTTTCCATCATGCGGACAAAGGCACTGGCAATCCGATCATTGACGACGGTCAAATTTTGGACGGCTTCTTGGAGGGTTCGCGAATGCGTGAGAATAGTGACGGATTCGATAGTCTCGTGTCGTGTCAAGACATTCTTGGCGAGATGCTTGAGAACATCATCTTGTGCCCAGGAGGAATGTGTGGATGCCCAGATTTGCAAGTCGGCGATTGTAGTGTTTTCCCGTAAACTATCAAAGAGTTTGGTGGCTCCCCTGGATCCCGTTTTACTCAAATCAATCGACAAGAGTTGCAGTGTGGTCGTATACGGCAATGCGTTGGCTAATGCTCGTACCGTTTTGTTGTCCAGTTGAAAATGTGCCAACTGCAACTGTCGCAATCGGGCATGAGAAATGAGCGTCGACAACGTGGCCGGCGCCAACGTCCCCAGATTGGCCCGACGACTCCCTGCCGTCATGGCCTTGACACTGAGCGATTCCAACCTGGGTAAACTGGCCAAGCCGGCCACAATGGGATTGAAATCAAAATAGGCGGCATCATTGCCCACATCGGTAGTGGGAAAACACCATTCCTCCCATGCCACATGCTGAAGCGAATGCTGTCCTTCCAAACAATGAGCCAATTCTTGAAATGCCTTGTGATCTCCTGCGAGACGGACACTGAGATTCAATCGCTTCAAACTGCCTCTAGCAACACCCACTCGAGTCTGCAAGAGTCGTGTGAGTAAGACGACGGGAAAACGGGGTCCCTGTGGTCCAAAGGTAATTCCCAAATCTTGCAATTGAATGACTTGGACGCCTCGAAGGGCCGCCAGCGCATCAAACAACATAAACGCGTCTTCACTCAACCAATTCGGCTCACTCATATCCATGGCAACTTCTTCGCTGCCAATGACTAGGCGACGTGCCGAACGCAGGTGACGAATTTCATGGGTAATGCCAACCAAGTCCGAGCATTCTCCCAATTCCAACTTGAGTTGCGTCAAGTGTCGATTGGAATCTTCAATCGAACGGCGGAGGGCTTTGGCAGTGGTAATCGGCATGATTAGTTTGATGGAAAAGCAAGAAGAATGAATGAGGCAGTTGGTGCAGTGTATGGTGGTGGTACCGTAATTCAATAATTCCAATGACTTGAATGGTCCGTGTGGGTGGTTTGGTGAAGGCGGGATCTTTGGAGTGAGTTGGGTGCAGCCACGGAAGCGTTGAACGACGAGAGAAAGCTAAAACAACGAAGAGAGAAAAATCCGGCTGGCTAAAACAACGGCAAAAAGATACACGTCAAACGGTGGCCTGGCCGTTGAGTACCGGACATAAGGAGGGAGTGCGCGACATGTTCGTGAGTGATGGTGTCACAAAAATGAGAGGCATGCAATCCCACCTCAAGCGTTGTGGTTGTGTTTCATCGGCGCACTTGTTTGTTTAGTTAGTTAGTGATGAAGATGATAATGATACGAAGCAACCACCACTCGCACAGGCTTCTGTCTAGTTGGATTCTGTTGATATTTTGGTTGACAGAAAATGGCCACTGGTGTTTCCAAGCCACCCAAAGCCTCCATCGACAGACCAGACAATCTCGAGGTATCTTTTCTCAAAATAATGACGATACTATAATAACGCCACCACTGGTGATTCACCACACGGCCATTAAAACCCGCAATATTACCACTGCCATGGATTTCTACAGTTTGTTGGGATTCCAAGTATCGACCCAATTCCGTGCAGGACCGGCCAAGGCGGCATGGTTGGAACAGCAACCAGGCATTACTGGTTGTCGTTTGGAATTGATTGAGGTTCCGGAGTATGTCCTCCAAGAACCGGAAGGAATGAAACGACGGGCCGTCGATCTCATGGCACAGCAACAACTGTTGGGTCACAATCACATGGCATTGGATGTCACGGCACAAATACAGCAACAGCAACAATCATCCAATCATAATTTGACAACTTGGTTGGAAGCACTCAATCAGACCAGTTTGCAACGATGGAATCGGACGTTGCGGATAGCATTGCCACCACAACAACAAATGATTGGACAAGGTGTCTACGAACTGGCATTCTTGTATGATGCCGATGGGGCATTGGTCGAATTGTTGCACAAACAAACCCAATTGGAACAGACTGTAGATTCGGGATGGCAACCATGGGAGGAAGGAACGTCCTCTCTGTTGAACCAATAGTAGTGAATGCTTGTGCACGCACGAGGAACTACGTACATCAATTTGCAGCCAGCTGGGCGAACTCAAGAAAATGTTGGAGCATGAGATGAGATGAGATGAGATGAGAGCCATTCAGCAACAAATCGCAGGGCTCGAAAGTGAGATTACAATTACCTCGGGCGAAGAAGCATCGCGGCGAATGAAGGCTTTGCGTGTACATTGCGGGCATTCTCAAGAGCCGCACCGCAGACGATTTCCAACATCGATGATGGTGCCACACGCCAAGAAACTATCCCTGAACAGCTTGCTGCTACTACCAGACGTAGCTGATGAGGCCACACGCCCAGGTAATGAGGAAACTAAACGCAATTCGCTGGGGCGGTTCATCCGTGCAAGCAGGAGATTCATTCCACGAGTTGATAACCAATCCAGTGGGCATTACTTCTACTAGCTAGTTTGCAGTCAAAGAACTCGACGCCATAATAATGGGCAACAAGAACTGGCACAATGTGCGTATTACAAGCCAGCACCGGCAGGTTGTTCACTGCCGTGGATTGGAATACTCCCTACACCTGAGGAGATGCCATGGTCCTTGGGATGATGGTTCCTGTTCACCAGGCAAGTGGAAGGTCAACGACATTGCTTTTGTCTTTCCCTGCTTCTTCGGATCATGAATCACACAGAGCAAGAAAGCGCAAAAGAACATACATTTCATCCACGGAACACATTATAGCAGCAAGGAGTGAGGAAAGCGAACCAAAGATGAACTTGCCTGTGAGACGAAGAAAACAACCATGGCCTAGTAGTTATGGTAGTGCATCATAAAAAGGTACCCAGAACGATATAGATCACACACTACAAACATTGTACGACTCTGCTCCCTTGTCACACAAATGTAGTTTTGGAGTGCTTTCCTGTTTCGTTCAACATTATCTTCAATGGCTTGCTACGGTAACCTGCAGATTGTTCGGAACTCGTGACATCCATGAGTTTTTTGTCAACACCATGGTTTCTGCGTTCAATTGACGTGAGTGTTTGATTCATTCATAGCCAAGACTTCAGCCAACGCCTTGTACCCTTCATTCTCCAATATTGCATCTGCGCGCACACCTTTCCTTTCATATACACCATCGAAGGAGCCGTCCATTCCCCAGCAAAGAAAGGTTTTGACGCTGGTGCTCTTTGCCAACGCTTCGCCCGCAGAAGCAGCCCACCAGTGACTGGTTAGTAGCGGCATGAAGGAAGAAGCTTGAGGATAGTGGCTCGATAGTCTGTCAATAATATGTAGCGCCTACAAACGTTATTTCGTACTGTAGGTTGTTGCCATTGGCGCACCATCCATTCATTATGTACTGTCTTTTTGCTTCCACTACGCATCACGCTTTTTCTTGCAGTTCTGGCCAAAACTCTTTTCTCATGCGGTCCACATAGGCCACCACATTCTTGCAATTTCGTGCTTCTTGATTGATTTCATGACTCCAATCACCCTGGATCAAGATGGCCATGTAGGCATAGACGGTGGCATCAAAGGAGGTGACTTTTGTTCCCATCAAATATGGTTTCTCACCAAGATATTCCGAGACGGCCATTAATTCCATTTTAAATTTTTCCAACACTTGTGCATTGCTCAAGATGCCCGTTCCTTGGCCTTGGCAATCCCGCACCAAATTGTTGCGAACTTGACGGCCGACGAGTCCGCGAAGCAAAGATGGTACAAAATCAAAGTACAGCGGCACCGTGACGCGGTCGCACTCCTCCTTGCACAACCACCGAGCTTGCATAATCCCGGTAAAATAAGTGGACTCTTCCAACATGGTTTTGAACGCAGTACCAATGGCTCGTTGTTCGGCTGTCAAATGCTGATCGAGGTCGTAGGTTATCGGATCCATTGTTTTGAGGGCGTTGATGATCAAAGTGGAATCATTCATTGGTTTACCGTCGTTCAGCTTACTCCAATGGATATACGGAACTTTTTTGTTTGGGTTTCCCTTCATTTGATGCTCTTGAAAATGCTTCGTCTCAAAGTCCACCTTGCAAATCCTGAGAAAGGTTTCCAGCTTGAGACAAGCCGGAGAGCTGTCATTGTCTTGGCCGAGCGCCTTCCATCCAAACACAATCGGTGTGTTCGGTGATGGCTCGGATTTCGCTGCTCCAAACATCTTATTAATTAAATATACCAGTATATATCAAAAGGCAAGCTGAGAATCGCATTCCTCTGCAAATTTGGCAACACACTTCTGCCCAACACTGCTCCCCAACACTTCTCATGTGTTGGGTGTGTACAGTCGTGCTGTACCGGTACACCGCACAGCTCAGATTTGGAGGAATAACGGAGACAAAAATGATGTCAATCAGCCTGAGCTGGCTTTTAAAATGTGAATTAATTGATCGTTGGATCCTTCCTGTTTGATGGCCAATCCAAATTTGCCAACTTTAGAAGACAAAGACCATGACAAGCACCAACGACAACGATGATGACTGGCTGGTCTGTTTCGTATTCGTTGTGATCCTCTACTCGGTGATAGCTGTTGTCCACATTCTCTGTCCAGCTCGCATCGTGAAGGGCTACGCCTGTAATCCACTTAGCATCAAGGACGAGAATCCACAACCGCTCGAGTACTGTCTGAATGGATTCCGTTGCTTTTGGATTGTCGTCGGTGGATTTCTGGCGCTGCACTATGTTCTTCCCAACAAGATCATTACTCTGTTTTTGCAGAAGAATTACTTTGGATGCGCCATGGCGAGCAATGGACTTGGATTGTTGGTTTCCTTCTACTTTGTCTACATTCGGTTCCCGTATTCCTTGTCTCTACAAGAGCAAGCTGCCAATGACATTCGACGTGCACCCACTATTGTTGCACTACAGACTACCAATGTACCGATTCAGCAGCAAGGCAACACCTTGGACGAACGAGGATTTCACTTTTTCAATGGTCGAGAACTGAACCCTCGGTTTCATCTGGCTTGGGTCGACAACTGCTGGCCTCTGAAAAATGACAACCTGAAACCGAAAATCGACAGCTGTCACAACCATACTATTTTCGATGTCAAAATGTTTCTCTACATTGTTGGAGCGTTAGTTTTGGAGCTTAACATTCTAAGTGGTGTGTGGTGCGAGCAAGAACTTCGCGGCGACAACACCAATTCCAATGGCATGCTGCTCTACACGGCTCTCTTTACGTGGTTCATCCTGGATTACATGTGGTACGAAGAAATCCATCTCTATACGTACGACCTATTCGCCGAGAAGGTGGGATTCAAATTGATTTGGGGATGCTTTTGCTTTTATCCTTTTGTCTACCCCATTGGCGTACTTCCTTTTCTCATGGCGCCAACCGCCGAATCAGCTTGGAGTTTCCCCGCCATGGCCCTCATCACCCTGATTTACATTGCCGGGTCGGTCATGACTCGAGGAGCCAATTTGCAGAAGTATTACTTTCGCCGCAATCCGCACCAACGTCAAGTGGCTCTCTTTGGAGGACTCTTGGTCCTGCCTCAAGAAACAGTCCCATCCAGCAACAATCGACTCTTGTGTTCGGGCTTCTGGGGCTTGTCTCGACATGTAAACTACATTGGGGAAATCTTGCAAGCCGTGGCTCTGGCCTTGCCTGGATGGTGGCACATTGTTACTGCTGCAGAGAACGACACTGGGAATAATGCGACTGTTCTCATGTGGCTTCCATGGTTGTATCCGCTGTACTATGTCGCTTTGTTTATACCCAGACAATTGGAAGATGAACACATGATGAGGAGAAAGTATGGAGACAAAGTGATGGATGACTACTGTGCCAGAGTACCATACCGCATGTTGCCAGGGGTTTACTAGCTAGCTAGTTGTCCCTTGTTGGAGCTTGTGTGGTCTGGACCCTCTTAAAAAGAGACTTGCCATCAGATTGATCATCAGCAAACGAATCGAATCAAATAAAGCCTGGAGTTGGTTTGGAGATGATGGAAAAGATGTAGTCATATATTCATTACAAGGAAATGCTATCTCGCTTTGACGCAACCGAACGATCACAACCAAAGGCGGCGCTGCCCTCATGTGTACTGGTATCGTATGTGCTGAGCGTTGTCACGGTACCTGGACCAGAGGGAGATACCCAATAACACTGCATTGCCCCCTTGCCCTTGGCTTGAACCAGATCCTCCCTCTTGGTCAACCAAGATGATTTGCCCCGGGCGGTGAGAAGATCCGCCGTAGCCTGTGTCACCTGGATTCTACCTGGGGATCCGTTGGTTTCGCAACGGCTCGTAACATTCATTGTATCCCCAAACAGCTGGAAACGTTGACCTCGATTCGCCCGCAAGACACCACCGGTGACTGGGCCAGAATGAATGCCAATGCGTGCCTAGAAAAGAGTGGAAAGGTGGATATACTTCATCGTGAGTCATGCATTAACTTTTACATTGCCCTGTTGATACTGTAGCAAAGAAAGCTTACTTGAAGATTAGCGGTGTCTTCACCGAGAGTTTCAACGAGTTGCATCGTGACCCTCTTCAGAATGGCTTGGCACTCTTGGGCAAACCTACAGAGAATCACAGCATGTTCCACTTGGGGCTTTGGAACACCTGTAGCCTGAGAAAAGCAATCCCAGCACAACCAAACAAGTGAGCACTGAGTCATGTTGCCTAGTAGAACTAGTCGGATCCAAGCGGGGTCAAACTTACTGCGACGTAGCAATCTCCAATCTACAGTGATGAAAGATCCGAATTGAGTTAGGACAGAGATGCTTTATGTGTGCTTTGAGTATGCAGATTGCACTCACTGTTTCAATCTTGTAGACGCGTCGCTTTTCTGCTGCCTGGTCAAATGCTCCAAAGATCGCTTCCAGCAGCTGAAAGACCTCTTCAGGCTTGCGACTGGAGCTCCACGCCTGTCACAATTGGAGAAAGAAACCTGTGAAATGATGATCCCAAGAGCCCGCTGTTGTTTCCCTTTGACTTTGAGAAAACTCACCGTGAACCCTACCAAGTCACAAAAGAGGACACTGGCTTCCTTGTAAAGATCAGCAATCAGAGGGGAACCTTGCAATGATGAATGCATCGATGGATCTGCGGAACTGCAGTAAGAAGAACGCCGAGACTCATCGTTGCTTGCACTCCAGGTGCTATTGGTCAAGTTGGTCATCAAAGAAGCTTGACTGACGACCTTGGCAACAGGGGAGATGGGGAGGCTTTGCTTGGTTTGCTTCTCTTCGATCAGTTGATCCTTGACATGTTCGGGGAAGAGTGAGGCCACGATGGCTCCTGAAGCCATAGCCCTATTCATCACCACAGACTGCCTTTTCTCAACGAGAAAGTCATAAGTAATGAAGATGGCAGCTGTAACAATGAATACTGCCACAACTACCAATGAAAAGATGATAGGTCCAGTGGAATGGAATTGGTCTTGGAATTCTTGTGAAGGGTAGAGGGCCAGCGTATACCCACAGTAGTCAGTGTTTAGATCAGCTTGTGTAAAGGATGTCTTCTCCAGGGCAGAGGTTTGCTTCAGATCCTTCTTAACATCCTGAATCAATCCCATGTCTTCAAAACGTGGGTCGTGATGATCACCGGGACCCAAGAAGGTCGCTTTAGCACCTTCGATTCTAAAATGGACAAACAAACAAGCAACAACATAGATATATGTGAGGTAGGAGTCGAGCTTGCAAGGGGTCAAGTCTTGATTGTCTTACCGATAGCTGAATGTTTGGTTATGCGTGTTGGACAATACGGCAATGAGTCCTCCACACGAGGATTCGGGAAGGATATCGGTGAAGTACTTTCGCCAAAAGATGCTGGTACGAATGGCACCAGCCAAAGAGCGGTCAGCACTGAACGTATCAAAGATTGGATACACGAAGTTACTGCTGGGATCACCCTCTAGGTCGTCCAACATGTGGCGGTACTGTCCCCGTTGCAGAGTCTTTAGAAAGTTGGCGTTCCAGGCACCTCCCGACTTGTCGTTGGGGTCCTTCAAAGCCAGTGCTTCCCCCAAGACTGCCTTGTGTGTCTCCAAGGTAGCACGGAGAGTTCCTCCTGTACTGGAGTGAAGAAGGTTGAAGTTAAGAATGCCCTTGGTAGGTGTTGCGGGTGAGACTTGCCAAATGGGAAGGAACGGCCCTGCGCCTTCTTCTTCCACTTTGGTGACCATTTTCCCAAACTTGCCGTAGATGCGGTCATTGTAGTTGTTGGATCCGGTGGCAAAGAGAGCGCTTGTCTCGACAACAACCATGGAGCTATTGACATTTGTAGCAGCAACAGGTTCTGGAGCAGCTGTGTTTCCTTCGGGTTCAACCTCCACCGTCTCGATCCCAAAGCGTTCATCCTGTCTTCGTCGGAGCTCTGCATCTTGTTTGACTGCTGCGTCGAGCCATCCCTGGTTCTGCTGGGCATACTCTTCCCACACTGGCCTAAGCGCGTCCGTGACCAATGGCATGTAATCCAAACGAATGCCTTCCGCCAAGGCACTAAGAAGGGAGGCAGGAACAAAACACAGAATGCTTGAGACCAGGGGGCACATTCGAGACCAGGGGGATACACTCGCTAGGGAATGTGTGTGTACTCACCGCGTCGCTTGCCCCCGTAGCTCATAGAATGGCAAGGTTACAAAGGGAAATGTCAAGTTATTCTCGAGCGCAAACAGAGTGATGCTTGTGGAGAAGGTATCGAGAACGCCCAACTTGCGATAGACGGCCCCATGGAAGGATTGAAAGACCTTGGTGGCATGGGATTCAAACTCATGCTCAAAGTCCGCGTCTTCTTCGGATCGAGCATACGAAAACACAGCCACCGAGGTGGCAATGGTAGCTAGAATCAACACCACAAAGATGACCGTCTTGAGGACAAAGACTCGACGAGTCTCCGTTCGAGCAAGATTGCGCCGTTCTTCTGCCGAGGCATCGTTACCATCAGCCAGGCCCTCGTTCTCGAATGTGTTGCTCATCGCGAAAGAGTCATCATCGACATCGATGGCTTCATCGTCATCATCATGGTCCATGGGATGTTGTTCCGGGAGAGGCGTCATGGTTCAAAATTAGGTAGTATTGGCTTGAAGCTCTGATATGGCTCAGACGCAAAGTTTTTTGTGAAGGAGGAAAAAATGAAATCTGTCAAGCTGGCTGCCTAGCTAGGTCAAGACCAAAGATTCTCTTGTGCTGCATTATGCAGTCGGGGTCGACGCGGAGTGAACGTATGAAGCAAACTTGAACCAAGAAAATTCACTTCCTAATAAGACAACGCAAGTACATAAATCGATCCACGTACGATGCTTGAAGTGTGACTCTGAGAGCTCTCTGAGTCAGCATCTCGGATATGGAAAAGCAACGAGCAGTTCCAAACAAGAGAAACATCTTTATTAGCGACCGGCACGTCCCTGCACGTATCTTGGACAACCTCACCGTATCTTCAATTATTTAAAACTAATTAAATGGGGCGCTTGACGCTTGAAGCTTGAAGTGACTCTGAGGGAGGCTCTTGGACATGGAGAAACCAGGGACAAGGGTACAGTAGGGGGATTCCCATAATGTCTCTCTGTGACTAAAATACTGGGGCTGGAGTACTTAGTCTCTACCGGTACTGAGTAAAGGTATCAGTACGTCGTCATAGGCACCATCTTTGGTGTCTCGTTGTGCATTAGCTGAGGCTACACATGCTACTTAAGACCGTCATACCAATGAAACAGCTAATGTCTAGCTGTTACTGTACCGTGACCTGTTCAACAGAGATCCTGCTGTACCCTTCGGTACCGTACCGTACACTGTACAGTGCAACAACAATGGTGGCAATGACGTTTTGCATAATAGCCAAAACGAAGGCGAGCTACGGGTACATGTAGTGGCCACAAACAATGGTCAGCTCGCAACATTATTGTTGCCATGAAGGATTTGCTCTTGTGCCTACTACAGGTAATCATGCTTCGAGCCTCAAGTCTTTCGAGCTAGCTGGCTGGATGGCTGGTGGCAACTACTATGAACCAGCAGCAAAGACGACCAGTTCCTTTCGATTGTGGGTTTAGCCGAACGAACAATTGCTTACCGAACCAGCCTTGGAGGACTCCTCAGCCCTGGTAAACCAATATTTGGTGGTAGCAATCTCTCCAACCCAAATCCCCGCGAGCTACAAGCAAGGCTTAGCTCAAGCCTGAAAGATCGAAAGCCAAAAGACCACCACTGGAACATCTATTCATTCGGGTAGTAGCCAGAACTCTCTCCGACGCCACGTAGAAACACCCTCAAGGAACATTGATTGTTACGAATATATATGACATTGTGGTACTCGAGTACCGCTATTGTATACTGTTGTATTGGGAGGAGGGAGGAGAGATGTTGGGATACATGTACAGTCGCAGTCATAGTCTAGTAGGTAACTGCAGCTGCTTTCGGAAAGTCCAAAGAGTACAGTACATACATAGTACCGGTACCGACTCGTACAGAGGATCACCCCTTGGCCAAACAAAGAATCGAAGAGAAGCGAAGGCGTTCACGATGGTCAAATTTTATTATTTTATTTTCCGAGAAACGTGTACCAGTCACTGCCAGTACAAACTAAGATTTAGTATAATAATATGCGAACTCCACCATTTTGGCGGAGCACAAGACAATGTCCACAGTTGAACCAAGGCAATAACAAAGAATCGAATCCCTGAGTTTTGAGTTCTGCTTGACGAGTCGAGTCGAGTCGAGAAGAGTCGAGTCGAGTCGGGTGACGAGTCCAGAGTGAAAGGACCCGAAATCACCATTATTTTATGAATCCAACCAAATTGATCAATTCGAAACCTAAATATAAAATCGAAACATAAGTATAAAATCGAACCCTAAATATAATGGAAAGCAAATTGCTTTGGTAATTAACTAGAAAAATCAAGCCGAAATAAAAGTATAAGATTGAATCCAACATATAAAATCAAAGCCTAAATATAAAATCGAAACACAAGTATAAATCGGAATTTGGTGTAAATGCTGATTTCGGGCCCTTTCATGCAGTGACAAGTCGAGTTGAGTCATGTTTGCAGTATTTTTGTGTGAAAATAGAAGACAAACACGTGGCTCTTTCGCACCAGTCGCGAATTTGGAATCACGTATTCGACGACTACGGTACCTGTTTTATCGAATCACACGATTCGATTCGACCCGATTTGATTGATTCCACTCTTAGGTCCAGTAGAGCTACTAGACTATAGCAAGATCATGTTAATATGGGTCTATAGAGGTTGTAAACCTCCCCTCCAGACGAGGATCCAGGCAAAGGCAATGGCCCTGGTTATACCAGAGAGGCCTGCTGCATGTATCACAGACAGACCTACTTCCATCCAATTTACCCGCGCGGGAGGGAAGGGAAAAAGGAAAATTGGTGTCGGGCGGCTGCAACTCTGGTTCAGAAAAAGTGAACCTGATTTGTAGCCGCCCGATTAGTAGTCCTTCTAGCTGGTCATCAACGCCGCATCTGCACACCACCTGTGTATCCGACACTTCGGTCCACCACCTCATCCTTTGGATGGGTGGCTCTCCCGGATTCCTGTCCGTCAGTCTCCCTTATGGTCGGCTCCCTGTTAACTCATACTCTCCGTTTTGTAGAATCTCTTCATTCCCTGTCTGGGAAGGTTGGCGAATCATTCGTCGATTGAAGTTTCGATCATTTACACTCCTCCCTTGACATTAAGAGAGTCGGAGATAAGATGTCGAGTACTAAGATTTGCTAAAATGTTAAAATACTTGAGACACTCAGATCTGCACTAGAGCAAAGATAGCCAGTAAGCACTCTCCCTTGGGCACATAAGAGATTGAGAGATGATACAAGGACACTTTTTTACAACAAAATGCCTTAAAAACTTGTACCAAAAACGAAGAGTTCTGTAGAGTATCCTGTCAGAGGCTTGGAAGGTACTATCAATAGTAGCGACACTGTTGGTGTTTGTTGTTGCCGTTGGTGTGGCTCCTGCTGCTGGAGAGGAGGAGTTAGATATTAAGTGCGACGTCGAGGACGAATCGGCCGAAGGATCTGTAGAAAGGGATGATTTCGCGGCGACTGCTGGGGCTTCGAAAGCTTCGAAGTTATCAATAATACTATCGCTGTTGGTGTTGGATGCTGTTGTGGTTGTAACTCGTACTGGTGGAGAGGCTCGTACTGGTGGAGAGGCTCGTACTGGTGGAGAGGACGAGTTAGATACTGGTGGAGAGGACGAGTAGATATCAAATTGTTCGATCCGTACGGAGAGTTCGTGTTGATCGATAGAGGTACAATGTTATCTTTCGCGCGATTCGCGAATACTGGTAGGTTTGAGTCTTGTTCTTGTGTTGATAGGGCTGAGGATAAGCGATTCTTCTTCTTTACACGTAATCGAAGAAGGATCTTCCGATCGAAAAAGGGTCGACAATGGCGCTTTTGACGGTAGAGATTGTTGTGCCTCCCGGTTTCCATAGAGATTGTATGAGGGATGGTATGCAATTCTGCACCTGCAAACTTGATCTTGAAGCTGGATTTTTCCAACTTGACGATCGGCGGTAGAGAAAAGAAAACCTTCAATTTGCAGTGCTTTATCAATGATGGTGGCTTTCTGCTCTGGACCAGAGACTTTCCGCTTGGGTAACAGTCGTGCTGTACGGTGGTAGAGGTGCAGCCGATAGGCTTCCGAGGGAATTCCCGTAGAGGTACGGTGATCGGAAGAGGCTTGGTCGTCTACAGAGAGGCAAAATCCACGAAAATTCGATTGACTCGATTTGTATAGTAAAATAGTACAATCCAATGAAACAATCAAAAACAGGCTCCAGAATGCCGATTCCGCTGCCGCCACTGCCAATACTGACAGTGGCAACACTACTAACGAGGTTAATAGGCTTGGTTTGGTCTCCAATGGCTTCGTATTGATCGTTTCACTCAAGGTACTAGTAAAGGGCTTTTTCATTTTCCAGTCATGGAAAAGTGATTGAGCGGTTACTAGTATTCTGACAGCTGGTGTGAATGTTGACCCAGCAAATAGCACAGCCTTTCTTGGCTATGCCCAATTCCCATGGTGGATTTGTCATGCATTGCGGTATCAACAGGACTAAACTGGAGTTGAGTCCATAGTGCATGAGATACCGCGGACGTATTTTGCGAGCCCTATTCTGGAAGCAGTTTGCTTCTTTGCACGCAGGCGTATTAATTAAGATATCCAGCACTAATAACCTTTAAACCTCGCCGTATATGTGCGACATCTAGAACTCCACATTGCTCTAAAAGTGCATCATGCTGTAGTCGAGTTTTTAAAAGTCCGTGGTCTCGCAGTAGAATGATGAATCAATCGAATCGAATGAATCGAATGATTGAAGATTCAATCATTCGATTCGACCCGATTTGATTCGAATCGTCGAATGAAGTTTCGATCAGTTAATTCGATCATTCTTGGATCTTTCTCGATCCTCGCATCATCGAACGGCCCATCTCACAACGCACTGACTTGTTGGATGCGACCAATAGCTACCACTGGCAAAGCGAAAGAAAGATGAAGAGCTATTGCCGATCATCCGCTGTGCTTGTGGCGGCCTTTGCCTCGAATATTTCTGGAGCTGCAGCCTTTTCGGCGTCTCATACACCCGGTTTGTCCCAAATCGGGACAAGGATTCGCAGGCAACCTTCGTGGCAGGCTGCATCCGTTTGGTTGAAAGCTCAGAATGATGAGACG